GTAATTGTATAAGAATCGACCTTGTTTTTTAAAGATTAGTCATTTAAAGTATCGATGAGAAAATCCCTGTACAAATAGCTTCTACTTATAATCCGATAATTTATGTTGTATGATGCAATGAAAATACTCATACCGCGCGCGCAGCTTGAACTACGACATACGCAAGCGTTCAGTTGCAAATTATAAGGTCTACCGAAGTTTGTAGGGCGCGAAAAATTTTATGTTGACGTGCTCGCGCATTCTGAGTAGTCAGCTCGCGTTGGGTAAAATCTTTCGCAATGTATTTAGAATTTATATATGCACTATAACTAATGCAAATCACTTGGAATACTTTTGAAATACAATATTGAATATGATAACAAGCTCAAAAATGCTACTGCACTGACGTATTTCTCGTGGAAAGCACAATACCGCGCGTAAATACAGTAGCTTTTGTCGAGGTGCCTCGAAAGTTATTTGAAAGTTATACGATTTTGGATTATTTCTTAAATTTTGGTCGCAAAACGCCAACTTAATGCAAAATCGAGCAAGTTATAACATATAACCATATTTTATACGTATCAAAGTGGATGTGCTTTCGATGGAAATATAATTTGCACCTTTTCTTTATATGTCATGCGCGAATATGCAATATAAGTACTGTTGCTCTAACTGCAGAGCCCTCTCGCTTGCAGTAGCGCGCGACCGCTGCGTAGACACATGGCTATGTGAATAAGTACTGGGCATATCAAATAATTTTGATCATGATGATCGCAATTGACGGATGTTCTAAATTTCTTCGAAGTAGCGCGCGCTTGTCATACGTTGTATGACCCGCCGCGCATAAGTGCGCGGCTCCCCTGTATCGTAGAAAATCTACTACACTATAGTGAAGCGACAGTGGGGGTCACCACGTGATACAAGCGCGTGCCGCTTTCTTCTCGAAATATTATTGGCCCGATGGCAAGTGTTACGAAGTAGCGCGCGCCGGGCCAGACCATTAACAATGGTCAATCATCGCAACCACAAAACGCCAAACAAAAACAATTAATATTAAAGCAATCGTAGCGATAGTTAAACGGTTGCTCTTACCAGAGCCCTCTCGTTTGCAGTAGCACGCGACCGCCGAAGTGAAACAATCGCGTCACGCAGTACGCGTATACACATGGCTATGTGAAGGTGAACGGAATCAAAATCAAGAATCAGCGTTTATAAAAACATAAAATTTAGTAACCACAAACATATGCCAATCCGGCCTTCACACTTATTGTTTCACTTGTGAAACAAGCGCGTCATGCAGCTTACACGTAGACTCATGGCTATGTGAGTGTATCGCTATAAAAGATGCTGCAAGAAAATGTGTTTGTGGAAGTGACAACTCAATAAATCACTCCTTAATATGCAAAAGGGGTGGATATGTAGCTCTTTGCCACAATTCATTGAGAGATATTAATGCTTTTCATACAAAGTTACAACGAATGACGAATTCTTCATGTAGTGCATCCTGGGTTTGGACAGGATATGCCCGTTTAAAATATTTCCATCACGTTACATTACATAATTCTCAATAAATGTATTAGATTTGTAGTGTTGAAATTAGTTTAAAATATAATAGCAGAGCTCTTAGAAACTGCTGGATGTAAAGATGTTACCACTGAACCTCAACTTCTTCCTGTCAATGGGAGAGAACTTCCTGCAGGGGCCAACAAAGCAGATGGAGCTAAGCTAGATGTCAGTTCTAGGAGTATAAGGAACCCATTGGAAAGGGCATTTTTAGATGCAAGAGTATTTTATTCTCAAGCTCCTTCCAATAAAGCTCTTGGATCCCCAATAAGTATGTACACTAGCAATGAGAGACAGAAGAATCCACAGCCTGTACATCCAACATATATCCACTGAACTGTTTAAAATCTTGAAACTGCATCAACCCATCTCTCTGACAAGTTTATTCCAAACAAGTTCCAGAACATGTAGCCAAACTATGCGGGTCCCCCGACACAAACTTGACATTTCTAAACACAATTTTGTCGTCAAAGGTACGACTATATGGAACAGTTTGGTTGAAAAAATATTCGACAAATGCACTCCTAATGAAAACAATGTCATGGTCCCTGGCTCTAATAAATTTTCCGACCTTTCCTCCCCCATCTCAATTATCGAGAGCCGTATCAAAAAGCTGTTACTGAAAACCCAGCAACTGACAACACCTGGGCGTGAAAATTGAGTGGCTCCCCCCCCCCGTGAAATTGAGTGGCTCCCCCTAAATAGCTGGGGCATTGAACCAGCTTAGTTGATCAGGCATCAGCATCCCATCCCTTGCATACAATTAATTACAAAAGAGCTAATTATACCTGTTTCAAAAGCATCCTGTCTGGAAGTTCCCTGACTGCCGTGTGAATTTTAGGATCTATTTTTGGATCTATTTTTATATTAATATGATTTTTATATACCTATATATTCATCGCATAATTTCCATGTCCGCCTGAACAAACCTGTCACCATCAAATATTACCTCTAGAAACCCAAGAACTCATCAAGTCTAGTCTGAATTCAAAACTAGTTGACCAGCTATGTACAGTTTCCTGGACAACTGGAACCTTTTGGGCCATGCACAAGCCAATAGCATGTATGGTCCTGCAGTGGGGTCTCCTTGTCCTTGGATCTGTGTTTTGATCCGTCTTTTCTTAAAATTTTCCATTTGTGTCACTTAGACTCACCTATTAAATGTAAAATATCTGGATCAGTCCTGAATCCACAAAGGGAATTAACCGAACTTGCTCTCCACCTCCCACCACTGGATGTGCAACTCGAAGCTCTTTCGGTTAAATTCATGTGCAAAGTACTCACACAAGGTGACAATCTCTCAGCTACACTCTACCAAGTTGACGAAAGCAGAATACCAAGCTTTCATGTCTTGACAATGTCACTGAAAAAGTACTTCCTGTGGAAAGAAAATAGGTCACACGGAACCAGAATGTGGACCTAACGCAGCAACATTTCAAGGATCTGGCCTATTACACTCAGGCAGACATAATGAGCTACAAAAATAAGATCTGGATTGACAGCATCGAAACAAATCTGCAATGCAGAACTGTCAGTAACAACAAGGAGACCAAGATACTTGGTGTGATCACAAAGATCAAAAACAGTGGGCTGCTCCTAGACAAAAACAACTTCTTATTCGGGCACAACACGAGTAAAAATCTGGACAGCCGAATAATGGACTACATTCACGGCAGCTCACCACTCTTTGCGAATATCCAAAAGATCATGTGTGGTGACAGTGGTGAGGCCTGTCGTTTCTGCAACAGCTTCGATGATTCTCCTGTACACCAGCTCCTATTGTGTCTGGAGGTGCAAGACACCAGTTACCTGCAGCTAAAAGAAGAGCTGGGTGGGGCTGACTCACATTCCTATCTAGATGAAGTGTTAACAAAAAGCAGCACACAAAAAGCATTCATTAGAAGAGTCGAATTTCTTTGGGGACAAAATGATGCTCTCCAGGATTTATCCAACTAAACTAGAAAGATCATAAAATAAAGACTCTGCAAACATCTCAGAGAAATAATACCACCGTAAAGATTAAAGAGGGAGGATCCTGGACCCCGAAATCCACCACTTTTCTGTACTTTCAGAGGTACCAATGTGGCAGGAAACCAGGGCTCATGCTGCCGCTGAGCTAAAGCAGTAGAGGGGATGGCAGCTTCTCTAGGATCTAACACGTCCTGAAGCAGACCAACACTATGTCCCAACGCACTGGTGTTGGGATGTCTGCCCCCGGTGCCTGTCCGGGTCAATAAAGCAGTCAAGCATCATGTATGTTATGTTGAGCATTCTCAACCAACAAATGTGGGAACTCCCACAAAACACCAAAACAGATCTAAAGAGACACTTAACAACATTGGAAAAATAGACTGCAATTTGTTTATATAATTTATAAAGCGTATATTATTGCCCACGTTAAGGGGCCTGTTAATAATTTATTAAATTATTAGCTATTTTAGATTTAATAATAATAATAAAAATGTAAATCGACACCACTGGTCCTAGTTAAATTTAGCCATGGCACGACTACTCAAACGTAACAGTTAAATAGGTGTGACATACTATTATATCCTTATAATTATATCATATGAATTGATTGCACTGCTAATAAATAAAATACTTTGTTTTACTAAAATACTTTGTTTTACTAGAAAAACATGTTCAAAATAAATATGTGATGTATTGATTAATGAACACTATTGTATGTATTTGATGTGCCAACAAAGAGAAGGCCGCATTTTTCTGGAAATTACCTTGGCTATGCAAGACATGCACTGTGATGCTGTTGAACCAAGCTAAGTTTTATTGCAAGTCTTCATTGACCTATGGCCATGACAATTGAAAGTAAGTTATATATAAACTTTGACCAAATTCATGAAAGTTTACTAACCTTCAATTTCTGATTTTGGAATTGATTGATTTTGATTTTTAAACAAAGATTTACTTTTAGTACAGTAAAACCTCGATTTAAACCGATTTTGTGGGAAAGGACATTGCTGTGGAAATCAGGGGCACGATAAATCAATTTTTTACTGTATATGGACTAGCTTGCTTTAAATTAGATAATTGATTAATTGGTTTATTATATTATCATAATTCAGTTTTTTGTCAAACAAAAGTCTAGGGAGTAGCTAAGGATCCATTGGATCTATGTGATTTCCTTGGTCGACTCAGCCGAATGATAGGAAACTTAATTGAGGGTTAAATGAGGAGGGGTACCTGTTAAAAGTTCAAGAAACTTCCTAGGATACCCCTTCAGTGCATACTGTAAACATAGTACTATTACTATAATTACTATTAAAGACTGAAATTGTCTTTGAAGTTCTACACTTTTTTGTTATCACCCTCCATTTTATGCACTGATATCCACCTTCTTCTCTTTTGAGTCCCGCACCAATTTTGTAAGCTCCTTACTTAATACAAAAGTTATCTGTGACATGAGTATATTTTCTTGAATTCTTTTTTATAATTTGATCACAAGAATTAAATTCATCATTATCATCTTGCAAATATCATAGGTCAATGGAATGAGTTAAGTTAACGATAGAAAATAGGTCATGGCTTCTAGGAGGAAGCCAAACAAACCTATTCTCACAATTCCATCATGTGCAACTGTCAACGAAAGGAGCCCCACCCCGTCACCTCCTCCCAGTCAGGAGTCTTCCATGGAGTATGTTTACTTTCTAGTGTTTGTCATATCTTGAAGTAATGCATTCTTTGGCATTTTAAGAATGTTCACCTATTATCAGTCATTGTGAATCTATTTTACCTTCAGTTAAGTCACATGTCTAAAGGTTAATAATTTCAGTTCGTTTGTAAGACAACTTAAAGAAGCTGTAGAAGACACTGAGCTTTCCACAGCCCAGAGGGCTAGGATGAATGAGTTCTTCAACCAGAAGCTTCTGCTCGGAAGTGAAATGAATGACGAGGATTTCGAGAAGATACACGAACTTGGAGCTGGTAATGGAGGTGTGGTGAGCAAAGTTAGACATCTCAAATCGGGGATAATCATGGCTAGAAAGGTATTATATTTATAACTTGAAAAGTCTGATTGTTGACTTAGTCATAGAGCAGTATTTAGTCTTCTTTCCATTTAATAATTGTATAAATTATAAATAAACTATGAAAATAGACTTTATAAAGTATAAAAGATATTGATATAACTTAATTGAAATTATCGATATTTTGATCGAAAAGTGATAGGTGATCAGGTGGACTAAGTTATCAGGACCCATCGGAAGCAGACACACGAGTGTATAAATTATGATTATATAACACATAATTATATCATACATCGGGCTCGGGTGTATAATAATATATAATATAATCTAAACAACAATATGGAGATTATAATGTAACAACCCATGTCACGTTGTCGATTTTATCATCAATTAACATGCAGCTTAAAAAACAGTGAGCCACCTAATTAATTTGTCTACATTTCAGTTAATAAGACTGGAGATCAAGCCTACCATAAGATATAGAATAATGCAAGAGCTGACAGTTCTACACAAGTGTAACTCACCCTACATTGTGGGATTCTACGGAACCTTCTTCAGCCCAACTGTGGGGGAAATATCCCTTTGTATGGAGTACATGGTGAGTTAACTATTTCTTCTTGAAGTTTTCTTAATTAATAACGAGGTTTAAGTTTAGATCCCCGCCTTAATGAATTTAGTATTTAAATATTCGTCATTAATTAATTTAATTACCTCTTTTAATAGTTAAGCACCACGCTCCAGCTTGATATGATATGATTTAAAATAAAGGGGATGATCTCATGGAATTTCTCTGAAAAATAATTTAAGAATTTATCAGGATGGTGGATCCTTGGATCTTATTCTCAAGAAATGTGGACGGATCCCTGAACCAATTCTAGGGAAAATAACCGTAGCGGTAAGTGCAATTTGTTCAATAAATTATGAATTTAATAAGGATGATAGTTTATAGTTATATCAATTACTAAACAACAGTCAATAACAACAGAAACTTTAAAGTAGGATGATTTATACCACATCAACTCATTGAGGCGATGAAGTCCTCGGACCATGTTGCCATTATTGGTGGAGGTATAATCGGGATCAGTTCCGCTTATTACTTATCAAGCCTCGGACACACAAACATCACTATTTACGAACAGTGCAGTGTTGCGTGCCACTCGTCCGGGAAAGCAGGTGGGTTTCTTGCGCGGACCTGGTGCGATGAAACTGATCTCAGTGCACTGGGACGTGCCAGCTACAACCTCCACATGGAGTTGAAGGGAGAATATCCTGATTTAGACTACAGAGGAGTAGACACTTATCAGGTGAATACTTCACAAAAAAGGGGAGGTCAGGACAAGGAATGTGTCAAGGTACCTGTTAAATGGGTAACAGACGATTATATCACTGGCATAAAACTACTAGAAACTTCAGAGAACACGGCTAAAGTCTCTCCAAAACTGCTCTGTAATAAGCTGCTGGCAGTTGCCCAATCTAGAGGTGTTCAATTGAAGCTCAGCAAAGTTTTGGGAGTTAATAAATCAGACGGTGTCATCACCCACCTCCTCACGTCCACCAATCAGGACCCTGTCCCGGTAGATATTGTAGTGGTAGCTGCAGGACCATGGACTACTAAGTTCATTCACCAACACTTCTCAGAGTACAAGTTACCCTCACTGCGCCCTCAGACTCGCGCGCACAGCGTGGTGCTGCGACCCTCCACTAGCGTGGGTTCAGAGTGTTTGTTCCAATACCATTCTACACCCAGTGGAACTGTGGACCCTGAGATTTACCCTCTACCAGATGGGACTGTGTACGTGTGCGGAGAGATTGACTATGTTGAACTACCGGATAATCCTTTACAAATATCACCTGACTCTGGTAAATGTAACGAGCTGATCGCTCAAGCAGGTCACGCTTCCAAGTGTTTACTGAGCGCGGAGGTAGTTGCGAAACAGGCTTGTTATCTGCCTGGATCGCATGATGATATTCCAATTATTGGCAAGGTGCCAGGGACTCACAATGTTTATGTTGCTACTGGACACACTTTTTGGGGGATTCTTAATGGTCCAGCGACGGGGAAATGTTTGGCTGAACTTATTTTGTTTGGGGAGAGTAGAACATGTGATATAACTTCTTTTAGACCAGAGCGATTTTTATGAACCAACATTAGCATTGATTAGGATATAGGTTCTTTAACACCTTTTTTGCTAGAATTAATAATTCTTTTTGAATTTTTACCGTTAATATAATATTTCTTATTAAATTATGAAACATAATATAATATCGTTTTGTTCCCATTGTTATTAATAGAACGTTTAATTCAGATGATCAGCTGTTGCATGTAAATTTGAAGTAAAGTGCCACTACCAATTAAATTCCTATTCAAGTTCTAACTATATTTCTAATGAAATGTTCCAACTCAATTCAGTTATAACTGCATCTAGAGTACATGTTAAGTCCATAATATGTAAGATGATTATAACAAAACATTCTCCCTCAGGTGTTGGAAGGATTGAAGTATCTGAGATACCAACAACAAGTTTTACACAGAGGTCAGTTCACACCCAGTCTAATATTTTACTTTAAACCAGTAACTTGTTTTGGGGAGGGGGTTATAACGTTATAGAAGCGCCTTGGTTACTCTACTTGCACATTATCTATATTAAACAAATAAACACTAGTTTTCATTGACGTAAGCACCGGTTGAACAAATAAACTCTCAATCTCCGTGACGTCAGTAATCCTGCACTGTGAACCCTCGAGTTGTAAGCCCAGCCGCCCCAACCCTAGAGACACACGCCTGGTTTCTATGTGATTTTTATAGTGCTATGACGTCAGGAGAGAGGGGAAATAATAGGGGGGAGGCAATACACTGCCTGGACAGTGGGCACCCTGCAGAGTACACCTTACGTAAGAGACGCAGTACATCACAAGTTATTTATATGCATTGTAGTCTATTGCAACTATTATACTAATAAACTTGCACACCAACCGTTTAAATGTAGAATATAATAGGTTAAAGCTAGCTGAGCGACTGTTTCAAATATGTTACTTTTAAAACCACAATACTTTGATGCTGAAACACGGTTTTAAGTTACTACTAATCGGTTAAAGTAACATCAGTACTAAATAATGATAAATTTCACTGCGCTGCATTCTAATCCTAAAGTCACGTTCACATTCTCCGAAATCAGGTCCGCATCCTCGATATATTGGTTTCCTCCATTAGTGTGTTCTCTATGTCCGTGTCTTCTAAAGAGTCCGCAGCTGTTGTATATATCTCCAAGGTTGACTGCTCAATCTCTTTAAAAACCAAATAACCTTTTAAATATTAGATTCCGGGCTGTTGGTTACTAGGTTATCAGGATTGTAAGAAATTTGCAGATTACAGGTTTGGATTTACAGGATTACTTGGAGGATAATATAACAAGGTTATGAATTAGGTCTAGGAATTAGCTATACTAATAATAGGAATTAGGATTATAAATATTTGCAAATACGAGAAGTTTAAAATATTTTACTCACTTAAATTCAAAATTGTGGGAATTATACTACAAGATAGTTTCAAGATTATCTCAGTAACATGCCTGTTTGATTATTGCCGTCAACCCCCTATCCTTTAATCAGCCGACCTTATGCAACCACAAACCCAGTTTTAAAATGTTCTGCAATTCCAATGTTTTTGGGCGTAACATTAATTCTTATATTTACCATCCCCGCCCTTAGGCTATCGGTGGTTGATTGTGGTCCGCAACTCCTTCAAAAGTTATTGACGACCCATCTCTAAATACGTTCCACTACGGAACATACACTGAACTACACCAGCCCACCATTTGCATTGTTGTGACATCATGAATATGAGCTGACTAAACTTTAAATATTCAACTGAATAACATGGTTAATTTCTTTGCTAAACTGAACAACATGTATCATAAATTATATTATATTATAATATGTCGTAGTGTCGCTGTGCACTACCGTTTAATCCATGTAATGTAATCAATATGCAACCTAGAAATATGTCCTCTGAAGTCTGGGTAGATCAATAATTGTGGCCCCACCCACACTACATGATATTACAGCTAAGTGACAGAAAGTTCAATGTTCCCTGAATCTAGGCGTGTCAGACGGAAATATTTAGCAAGCACTCCTCCTCCTCTCAATGATATATATTGTGTGGAGGAGACCCAACAGATTGTCCACTCCCAAAGATGCAAGAATTCATGGTGATTGGCTCAGCTGCTGGCATAATATTATTACGTCTGGGTTGCATTTGTAGGTGCTGAAATTGCATGGCACTATCATTGCAGTGTGAGTCTAGAAGACTTATATTATATATATTATATATATCTTATTCTGCTCTCACGCAGAAATTTGGTCGCACTGAATTTGAAGTTGTGAAATTTCAATGAGGCCGGGACTCTTAAAGGCTAAAAATCACAGAACATTTCCTACATTTAGTTTGGTGGGACGGTGGGTCCTAATATTTTAATGTATCATGCCCGGAAAATTCTTTAAAAGTCATATATGGTGTTTTTCAAGCCATACCAGCATTTTAAAAAGAGTCCTCGAAATTTAAGGAAAACGTTTTGTCACAGCGATAATTCGCATCCATTCAATACACTAACGATGTTAATTGAAGTATTCGTAAAACCTTTACAACAAAGGTTAATAGTTTAAATGATTCGTGAAACACTTAACACTTCTACCTCCAAGCTTCAACCCTGTTCAGCCCTCAAGCGCCGACATCACAAAACACCCACACACCAGTTGCGCAACACTTTAGAACGACCCATTATGACGTCACAACCCCACTATGACGTCACGACCCCTTGTGATGTCATCACATGGTAAACATTCCTCACCTTTAAGTATTGTAATAAAGACCATGGTCCTCCTACGTCACTCTCATTTACACTGCTATTATATATTTGTTAAGTGAATGAGGGCTGGTATAATGGATCTGCAGACTGTGCAGAGGCGCCGGTGCAGGGACCTGGCTTTACAAACACCTGCTGCCTACCGGTTTATTACTTTCAGAACTTTTCTGATTTTCAATTTATTTTTAATTTACACTCCGTGGCCCCCTTGTATACTGGAAAAATCTCACGATTACAAGTCACATTTTTGTAATTTGAAAATGTTCTGTTCTTCCAACTTGAATTGTGTATGAAATCGCCCGGAAACATTTCATCTTTTAATTAATAAATTTCACAGTTTCGCAACTGGAACTTCACCACAATGACGACACAGTTATAATTAGCCTTGCATTGTAATGAAACTGCGAACCACTGCACAATCCACTAATGAGTTTCGACACAGTCTTTCAAATTCACAGTACAGTTTGCTGATGCGTCTACGTCACACCCCTGGTAACAAAGGCAGGGGTGTTCCACCGACTCCCAAGTAGGGCGGTGCCTGCAAAGTAGGTAGCTATTATTAGATCACATCTCGCTATATGCACTGGTAACTCTATTCATGGAAACGCAGTGATGCTAATTGCTTTGGCATGGCTTATGTAAAAATATCATAAGTTCAATGAAAAACTTTAGCAGGGCTATAATAGATCAATTGTAGATATGATATATTATATATCAGCTTCAGATTCACCTTTACTCTCTTTTTTCGACAAGTCACAAGTGTCTATGACAATGGACGAGTGGTGAGACTATATATTGACACAAAAAAAGTTTAAACGTAGTCATGATGTGGAAATTAGAAACTTTTGTAGCAATTTGAGGCATCTCTAGTCCATGCTCACAAATTGGTCACAAATTGGTCTGAAAACGTGAGAAATATGATGTCCAAATCATAATATGATCAGAAATTAGTGACAAATGCAAATTGCTCGATACCCAAACAATGTTACTACAGTAACAGTTATAGGACATCTCGGCCACATTCGAAGATGCAAGGCATAATTTTATCTTACTTACTTGTGCTGTAAATGTAATAGATCAATAATTGTAGATAATATTATAATTTTATCGCACTAGAGAGATAAGGATGGATTACTGATTACGTGGTTGGTCACGTGGAAAATTGAAATACTCTACGACTAAAGGAATACAATGCAAACATCAGATAATAATTGATTGACTTGTTTGAACGTTTGACTTAACGATCCAAATTCACGAAAAGAAAGCGAAAAGAGCCTTAAACTAATAAAAGATACCAATGTCCAATACCATTATAATTACAAATGTCTGCACCATCGACCACATTGCGACTCCCAATATGATTACTTGCTGCATGCCAGCTACGCTACTGTTAATGGTATAAATTATAGTATAATATAAATAGCAATTTAAACGAAGTACTTCCATATCTGGCAATCTGAGAAATAGTACAATTTTGAATTAGGTCCTTTAAACAAAACTGAATCTTTTAGTAATTATCTGGTCATGCCTCATACTCACGTCTCACAGTTCAAGGACGTTTGCATGACATCATTTGATAATTTACTTTAAACAGTTGAATTTCACAATATCACTCACTACCAGAAGGGCGTTATCGACTTTAATTTGGTGTGGACTGTGAACAGAACTGCGCAGTAACTCTGCAATAATGAGGTCATCAGAACTGCGCAGTTACTCTGCAATAATGAGGTCATCGGAAGTGAAGCTAGGCTTAGGTTTCAAAGCGGTTACATAAAAACGTGTGGTGAATTTATTGAATTTAAGGTGTGCATCTGGTAGCTGAACAGTCACTGCTAAACAAAAAAAATACTTTAAAGAAATATAAACTAAGGTGCTTGATCTGATTCTAAATCTGATAAAATAAATGTATCTCTGCATTTTAAAAACTTATTATATTCCATGAATTATGTCTGTCTTTTGGAAATGATTCAGATATCTGATGAAAATCATGATTACTTTGGGTCGCACTCTCTACAAACCTTTGGTCGAAAAATGTTTTGATATCTGGTCAGATTTGGAATACCTGCCAGCCACCTGACACCAATAGTTTAAAGACAGTTGCAGCAGAACCACATTTTATAAGCTTATAATTCTAGTTTTAAAATTAAGTTTCAAATGCAAATACTATCAATAACATAGCCATAGTTCTGTATTCCAATATTCCCGCTACATGGCTACCCGCTACTGATATTATCTATTTAAACCATTTCAGAAGTTATAACACCTGGTGTAAACATTTAGGTTCGCTCGTTCTTCAGCTCCAAACAATCCTGCTATTCTACTGTCTTCTCTCCATGTAGAGCTGGGCACCACGCACCGACACAAAGATAATTTCTGTATAATTTGTACGTGATGTGCTTTTCAACCTCCCCGGAACCAACTGGCTGGTACTCAATGGGCAGTGCAGTACCACCCGGTTGCCAGTTGCAGTGTAGTGTATACTAAAGAAGCTTCTATATTTAAATATAATGAAGCTCCTTGGATATAATATTATGCAGTGTACGAAAGATAATGCCATTATAAACAGTCTAAAGAATATAATAATGTGTGTTGTTATTCCGCAGCTGGTGAGCGCACTATACACTGACTATAACACGAAAGTAACTGTTCATTATACGACACAGAAGATCGGAACTTCAAATTCAGATTCAGTCAGAAATCCCCTGAAATCAAAGTTTAAATTGCACCGGCTACAGTATCATAGAAGTTGAACTTTAGTCCTCTTACAATATTACAAGTATGTCTAGACGATGATAAATGGAGAGTTCCACCAATTATTGGCCATCTTAACTTTAGGACTGTGTGGTTCCTCCACGCAGACAGGTATATTTTGTATTGTGATAATTGTTAAAGTTAATTCTCATCTGAACTCTATAATTCGGTGAAGCTACAACAGATCTGTTACAACGTAATCAATTAGAAATAGCGCTGTGCATCAAACTTATCCAAGTCTGAAATAATGTCCCTATTTATGAACTATACGATAACAACACAACCTCAGTAACAAGCGCAGGTGTTGTGCTCTCCAGCACCATTCCATCCCGTATTGCCAACTACAATTACAAGTTGCTCAACTTAACCGTAGCCATATTAATTAATTTAGTATTTTCGTAATATAACGAGTAATCTTGTAGTTATATACAATAATACGACATTCGTTAGTTAATGGAATCTGTTTGCTCATTCAAGTGCTCTGCGAATATTACAATATTAATCTGGTATTATATGAGACAAGATCCCGGAAGCAAATCCGGTTAGCTGGTTCAGTGAAGACAACTCCGATTAAACTACTTAGTTGCATAATCTCACCTGCACACCTTCAATTAAGCTGCAAAATAATTCTAAATATGGATAGGAATGAGCTGACTAATAGTAAGTGGGCAGCACCTGTATCCTGCCCATTGTTGTCATTTCCTGCATTATTGCATTATACTGCTCATTTTATAGCATTATGCTGCTCGTTTTACATCCGTAGTCTAGGTTCCCTATATTCCTTAACTTGGCGGGTTTTGCATCAAATTACTTTTAGTAGGGCCGTGAAATTGCGCGACCATTCGCTCTCAAAAGCATTAGGCATGGTGATCTGACTAGTTTTAAAATAAATGATCTTGGTTGGTTGACTGATAATTACTCATCGTTTTTAGTTCTTTTAAACGTTATTGCCGGTGTCAGCACTTACCAGGGTTTGTTATGTGACTCGTGGACGCTACAAGGATGTCAAGGGCCAGATCTTGTTCAACATTCATTGACCATGGACCATGGTGTCCATGGTGTCAACGGTATCTTTTGGCTCACATTTCTGGACCTCGTTAGTCTTTAGTCATGTTATGCTGATCCAGTTAGTGACGAGCTATGAAGTAATCATTCGATCTCATTAATACTGATCCTATCAATGACGATCTATAGAGTTATCAAATTTTAAACCATGTTCAAACGAAATGCTTGGGTCACATTTATATTCGAGTAGAAAGTCTCAAAGCTCTAAATCAATCCAATCATTTAAAAATCTGCGATTTTCGTGTTTTTATGTGTATAAGAAATAGGGGCGTGGTCCACGGCCAGGGCGTGGTCACAGAGTTTTGAAAATATGTTTAAACGAAATGCCATCATCACATTTATATTAGAGTAGAAAGTCTCAAAGCACAGAAATGACGCTTTCATGTTAAAAAATGCGATTTTCCCTATTTTACCTGTATAAGAAACGCTATAAAAATGGGCGTGGCATGTGCGGACCATATCCGGAACACTAGAGTCAAAAAAATTTTTTGTGTGTGTGTGTGTGTGTGTGTGTGTGTGTGTGTGTGTGTGTGTGTGTGTGTGTGTGTGTGTGTGTGTGTGTGTGTGTGTGTGTGTGTGTGTGTGTGTGTGTGTGTGTGTGTGTGTGGGAGTAGAGGGAGTTCATACTTTTATACGACAATGTTATGCCTATTTTCAAATATAATAGGTGGGTGTATACTTTTGCATTTCAACTGCAATAGTGAAGTCCCGGCCGTAGGCACGGGTTACACTAGTGTTACAATAAAAATAAACGTAACACAGATTTCCGTTTGGGTAATATGGAACTGTCCGAGAGAGTTTAGGTCAAGTCGGATCAACATTTCACAAACCTTCCCCACTGAACACTATTTATAACGACTGAAAGAAACAAAGTCACACACTGCTGGCAGCTTTTTATTAGAGCAGGAAATGGTTGTAAACTGTAAAGCGACTCTAGTAAGGTGACCAGAGTTTGACTGATAAGCTTGAATAAGTGCATGGCCACCCGGACCCTGTCCCAGTTCCAACAATAGTTAACATCCTCCTCTCCCTCTATAAGTCTGTACTCTATAATGGAATAGCATTTATATGTACGATTTATCCCTTAATTATATCAATAATAAACCCAATCCCAAACATTACTATTCTATTATGCGTATTAATGATATGCCGTATTTTCAGATGTGAAGCCTAGTAACCTCCTAGTGAACACTAGAGGAGAGATCAAGATGTGTGATTTTGGTGTCAGTGGTGAACTTATCAACTCTAAAGCTAATACCTTTGTGGGAACTAGATCTTATATGTCGGTAAGTGTCTTTCACTTTCACTTCCACTTTCATTTTCACTTTCGTTTTCTTGTGAGATCACTTTCTCTTCAGCTAGTTCGGTCTTAATGAAATTCGATTGGCTTTGTGTCCTCTGAAATTTATGAATAATTAATGATGAAAGGTACTAATTGTATTGTTGCCTTACTTCAGCAATTAAAGTTTCCATATTTGGTTGGTATAGACCCAAGTTTCCATTCTTGGTTTGTACGTCCTTTATCTTTACTCAGCCACCATCAAGCTCTTGTCAAGTATTGCAGTCTGCTTCTATCTTGTTCTATTGTTCACCTCATTATATGGAATATGCAATGTTCTAACAATCTGTATAATTAATAATCAATTATCGTACAACTATCACATAGCACTGAGCAGAGTTTAAAAGATGAAAGTGAAGCTTACTCTATTTCACTGATCTATTAGAGGGATTAGAGTATGTTGTGATGAGTATGAACTAGAATTATGTAGGATAAGTGTCTGCTGATCTTTCACTAAACGTCGACAAATTTGAATTATGTAGTTCATACTTTCATACGTTCATGTTATCACGTCGCGATATTAACTGTATAATGTGACTTGCCAATCTTCTGTACGCCACTTTCCAATCAGTATGTGACATGGACAGTAGAAATTGCCCACTGTAAACGTATGATAATTATAATTAATTATGTTGTACAATGTACGTGTTTTGTATCCTCGTAATATAGTTGCTAAAGCAAGAACGGAATAGTTCGTATATTTGCTATATCAATTATATCCATTGTGCTAATGAGCGCTTCTAACTCTATAGATGATAATGATCTCATTGACTAGGGTAGTTCACTCCAAATTTTTGGTCCACTAAACATAAATGCAGCATCTATTCGTCTAAAATGTGGTGCAGGAGGAACTTTCAGCAAATTATCATCTAGTCTGGAACTTCGTATTCGTATATCTCTTGATGTTTCCTTGTTAGAACTAATGGGCTATGTTATCACGAAAAGTGGAGCTTTTTGAGGTAAGGCATGATAGGTTCACGTATTTTCTTTCCGTAAAACCGAGCAGAATTGTTCTGTATCTATTGTTATTTGTATTGTAACTTCTGAAGATTCAAAATATGATCAATATAAATTGTTGAAAAGAGTAAATAACCTCTCAAGCCCTTGGAACCCAGGTTTAAAACTTAACACTAAGTGACAATTACACCTGAACGAAAGTTGATATAAAGTAGTGTTTTGAGTAGATCGTCGTACTCTGGAAATTACCGACTTGACCACTACACAAATTTGTCGTAGACAGATTATAAGTGGACACAAATAGCGGCTGTTTTACTAGTGTAAGTTAGCAATGTTTCGTGATATCTTACTTTTCCGGTGTACTCACGAAATGTCGCCACTTGATGAAAGCATTTCACGAGATTTTAAAATTATGTCTACACTATGGAGTGTGGCTCCTCAGCTCCGATTTCCGTTTGGGTTAGGTATAACTATCCATTAAAATCCTACCAGAGGTGAGATTAAATACGTTGTCAGGTGGATAGGAAATTATAGGTTCCAAGAAATAGAAATAAATGACATTTATGGAGATTTTAAAATCTTACCGACACCGTGAACATCCATTTGTACGGTAAATCGGCCGGTTTTATAACGAGAACTGACTCACCTGTCAAATTGAACGAGTTATATGGCACATATTATATGGTGGCTCACTCACAGCTCTTAAAATTAATATAACCACTAATTTGAGGACAGTTATCGAGCTCCGTAAATCGAATACCTGTCGGCTGTCTTTACTGTACCTATGTCCTACAATTCTCATAAAATCCCATGCGCACTCTGTGAAATGTCCATGTTTTATCATTAACTAGCAATATTTCACTAACTAGTAATATTTCCTTATCATTATCATATTTCTATAACTAGTAATGTTTTAGCCGGAGAGGTTGTTAGGAACCAGATACAACATCAGGTCCGATATCTGGAGTCTTGGATTGTCCCTGATTGAGATGGCTATAGGACAGTACCCAATACCTCCACCTGATCCTGCTACCCTTAGAGAAAATAGAGATAAGTACGTTACACTCACACCTTATTAATATCAGGGTACTGTTTTCAGATTGAAAATGTGGTGAAAATGGATGGTGAAAACTCTGTCAAGCTAGACAAATATTTTGCTTCATTTTTGGGCATATACATACAATATTATTGTTCATAATATGTAATGCGATAGAAACAAAATAAATACTATCAGATATAAGATCCTAACAAGATATTATCCTACAGGACTTTAACAGCTGGAGATACGGTTGAGGATAATGACCCCCGACCACCCATGGCTATATTCGAGCTTCTTAATTATATCGTTAACGAGGTATGCGATCGTTTTATTGTACCAAAAGCAGATCTCTCAATTATAAATCCCTCTGCGAGTTTTTCTGGTGTATTTGCGTGTATATAATGTATTTTCGTGCGTGCGTGCGTGTGTGCGTGTGCCGTAGAGGCTCAATGCGATGTAAATCCAACAAATTTATTTAAGAGGTAAGTTCCTTGCCTACAGTGGAATCAAGATAAAAGATGTGAGCTCAATTGTTATTCATTCCTTACATATAATTCCTTTCATTTATATTTTTCCAGTCCACTGTATCGACGATAGACTAATTCCATTTTATATGGTGTATTGTAATTCATGTAGTTGAAAAGGATATTTGATGAAACAGTAGGAAAATGGCATGAGCTGGGTAGCTATTGCTTTTGTATAATGTGGGACTGAGTAACTGTTATCTATCTGACCAACTAAATACTAATACCATCTTTAAGGTAGTTTTTGTTTGATCCGTGACTTTTGTTTTTCGAAAAGCTTTGTTAAAAACAATTTTAGAGGTATAAAATTACCTCCAAATGCTCTATTCTTCTACACATGGCGTCTCCGCGAGAGAATTAAATTATGCAGTCGGACCTCTATTATTCGATACAGTTGCTTATTGCCGGGGTACAAATAACAGTGGTCTATAATTAAACCATCAAAGAACGTCCAAAACTCGATAGTTTATATTTCAATTGTGTTATCAATCTTAAGGAAAGCTTTTGACCGGCACAGACTAATTTGTTCATTCTAGAAGAATTTAAACAAAGAATAAAAATCTAAATATTTACACGAATATGATTATTTATTCATTTATGATTGATAACCCCAGAGTAGAATGTCTGATTCAACCCACAAATACGCGCGTAAATGTAACGCGCGAGAAATTTAACGTTATAGAAAGGGTGTAAATTCTAGCATTTTCCTTAACGTTACACGCGTGTACGCTTGGTAATTATCTTGAAATACGGTTCCTAATTACACGATTTTTACACGATTTTTTTTACACGATTAGAAAATTTATTTGTTATACTGGAATAATAACAATTTTAAAATATAAAATAAATCACTTCCCTCTGAAGTAGAACAGATGATGGGAGAGCTTCAAACATGGCGATGGAGGGAAGCGGTGTCTCACCGCTGGGAGGTAAATTAATACCCGTATCGCGATGGTAAAATTTTATGATATGAGATCTCAAGTAAAAAATAACACAAAAAATAAAAAGTGAATGTTTTCAGTGTAGTGAAATCGGAGGCAACATTAATAAAGACGTATACACTTAAACCGTTACAATTATAGTCCCTATCTTGTTTTAAATACTCACAATAAAATACACACAAAAAACACACAAACGTCCCCAAAACATTAACTTCAATTTATATTTCCCTAGTTGAAATTAACTTATTTTATGAAATTGATACATTCGAGAAGATATCGTGATTACATGGTAGCCATCCATGATCCCCATTTAGCCCTAGGTTTTGTATATGAAGCAAATGGTTCTTAAATCTCTTTTTAAATAGTGAAATTGACAAAATATGATACGGTACATCATGATCAAGGAGATAATTTAAAATTTTGGATGCATTAAAAACAAAATTACTATTCTTGGTCTTAGACATTGAGAATTTAGGATATAGCAGTCTGCATGATCTACTTGACTTGCTAAACCGGCGATAAACATCAATAGGAATTTGTTCTTTAAGTAGCCTCATTGCAATACATCCAGTAAAGTATGTAAATAAGTTAAACAAGGTTAATAATTTCAAACGAAAGAACATTGGTTTAGTATTTTGAAACTTGTGATCAATCTTTATTGTTTTCCTACTCACAATACGAATACATTTTTTCTGCAACACAAACAGTTTTTGCAGCAAAGGATGGTGAAAAACAGCACCCCACAGTGGTATACAATACATTAAATATGGTTGAACAAGTGAAATATATACTTGTCTTAACACTTTGGCTGGTACTATAGAACTTATTGAGTAGAGTGATCCGCAAGATTTTGAAACTTGCGTTATTACATTGGTAATATGATCATTCCACGTTAAATTAGAATTAATAATGACTCCCAAAAATTTACACTTATTCACTTGATTAAACTGGTTGTTAAGTATTCCAACAAACTTTTGATTCTTAGGAACTTTACTATTTCCGAATTCCATAAAACAGCATTTTTCAAAATTAATGATTAACCTATTTAAGCAGCAATATTCGTGAATCTTTGATAATACCTCATTAGCATTTTTGTAAAGTAAATTTCGGTCTTTATTTTGAAGAAAAAGGTTTAAATCATCCGCAAAGAGGATAAATTTAGCTAACTCACAAATATTTGCCAAATCATTGATAAAAATAATGAAGAGCAGGGGGCCTAACACTGACCCCTGTGGAATACCACAGGTTATTTTTAAGAGACAACTTTCGAATCCACCATAGCTAACATACTGAACCCGATCTGATAAATAACTGTTTAATAATTTAATGACATTTCCTCGAATACCATAGTTCTCCAGCTTTTCTAACAAAATATTATGCCGCACTGTATCGAAAGCTTTGGAAAAATCTATAAATATACCTAATGTAAAATTCTTATTATCGATAGCATCATGAAGATTTTCTACTGCTGAAACAAGTGCATGAAAGGTTGAGTGCTTACTGCGGAAACCAAACTGATTATCACAGAAAAGATTGTGCTTATTAAAGAAATCAGATACGTTTTTATGTATTAACTTCTCGAAAATCTTAGCAAAAACAGGTAACATTGAAATAGGACGATAATTGCTTATATCAGAAATAGATCCTTTATTCTTATACAAAGGAATTATTTTTGCTGCTTTTAATTCTTTCGGAAAATAACCTTCATTTGCACATTTATTAAAAATATCAGCCAGTAAAGGACTTATAGTGGTAGCTAAAAGTTTGAGGACCCTAGGAGAATAATACGTACCCTTGCTATTATTAAGCTTACTTATAATATTATTTATTTCTTCACTTGAAAAATTAATATCCGATAGCTCGCTTATGTTCCTCTCAGGCATATATTTATTAAAATCTGTTAAATCCGCGTTAGCATTTTCACCATACGTTTTTAGTAAAAGATCATTAGCAATATTAACAAAATAATAATTAAAATTATGCGCTGCATCTTGATTAGGAAAAACTAGTAATCTGTTTGATTTCTTCCTACCTAGCAAACCGTTTATCAGTTTCCAAGTCTTTTTCAAATCATGTTGATTTGCTTTAAAACATTTATCAAAATACTCAAATTTTTCTTTACTTCTAATAGCATCAAACACTCGTTTGTAATCAACATATTTGTTCCAATTAACTCTAGTTTTATTCATAACCCAAATATCATAGAGTTTGTTTTTAGTGTCACTACTCTTGGCCACTCCTATTGAAATCCAATCAGAGCGAAGAAGAGAATTATTACCACTAGACTTCTGACTTTTAATAAACCATTTATCATACAGAGTTCTAAAATTTCTGTCAAAAAAGGAATACATATTTTCGGCAGAATCGCTTTCAAGATCAAATTTTAAATTTCTAAAGTCTTCTAAAATTAGCAGTTATTTGATATTGTGTTACAGATTATTTGTTCCTTAAACAGTACTTTTCAGAACCCGCCAACACTTCCAGTGGAGGATACTTTCTCGGAGCCTTTTAGGGACTTCGTCAGTAAATGGTTGGTTAACAAGAAATTTCAATTTCTTTTGTAAAAAACTTAGCTGCTTATTCCCATCAATCCTAACACCAACATTTAATAGGGCTACAGCTAGTAGACTTAAGACAAATAGCGGTTCTTTCAGTCTATAATGATGACGTAAAACTCTTCTTTCAGTTTGGTCAAAGATCCTCAAGGGAGGTCAGACATAGCTGATTTAGAGGTAAAATATTCTTTGTGCCTAAATTGCGAGCACATATACATTGGGTTAGATGTACCGCCTTTATTGAAATAGCGCCGATGTGTTTGCTTCAAATATTTCATGATTTTATATTCTAATCCCTGGTAGAACTAAATATCAGCGAAAGTAACGTCCTATAACAATTTCTCCTCCCCAAACTTCTGATGAAAAACAAATCCTATAATTGTGATTAATCCCCTCAGGCACACGAGTTTTACATAATATCTCGAAACTCTGACGTAGATATGGCAGAATTCGTAAGGAGTACGATCAACAATAGTCAGTGATAGGATAACATGATTCGGTTCCCGAGAACCAGGTCTTCTGCTCTGCACTAGGATGAACCAAGCCGACAATTTGATGTGACTTCTCAACTTAAGGACGCCCTGGACATTCGAGAAGTATTATAACAAACGTGTAAATTCGAAAGGAAAAGAAATGCTGAAAAAACAAACTATCAAAAAAGAGGGACCATTCAGTTGGCTGAATATTTAAACTGTTCTAATTCGTTGTTTGAGGGGTTATGATATTGGAGACTTTCTTTTAAGTCTCGTTATTTCCCCACTTACCAGACAGATGACATGTTGGATTTATTTTTGAATAAAGAATCATTTTTATTCCCAGTTGTTTTAACCTCATGCAAATTTTGCTATTTTGGCTGCCCAATTTTACAGGGTTTACCCAACGCAATCACGGATCAAAAAACGATCTTACCAAAACTTAAGAATGCAAAATATTTAAAGGGACCAAACTTCTCACGGCGTCTAACGTTAAATTTCCCGGGAGAATTTGATTGTAATCCAGAAATTCAGGAGAATGGTATTTAATTTTAGGTTTAAGTTTTGAAATTTTCAATTTGTTTCACGGTTTTGAGTCGATTTTAACTTGCCCATGTTATTTGTGCTATAGCCCCGTGTGCATGAGTAAGGTGTGTATTTATAATGCCGTTTAATGTTGAAACTAAACACAACTGCGTCAAAGCTGGGACAGCAGACCTGACTAGATCAGGCTGATTTGGTGCGTTTCACACTATTGTCACGCGTACAAGCACTATTGTCACGCGTACGAGCACTATTGTCACGCGTACAAGCACTATTGTCACGCGTACAAGCACTATTGTCACGCGTACAAGCACTATTGTCACGCGTACAGGCATTATTGTCACGTGCACAGTACTACATGTCACGCGTACAGTACTACATGTCACGTGCACACTCGTGATAGGGAACAGTGTGAGACTTTAGTTCTCACAAACTACCAGACAAGTGGTACCAGTCTGCTTCCCAAGTTTGTCACGGTAAAGCTTTTAGGGCCTAGCGTATGGTCAGCATATGCTATCATATGGTTAGCGTATCCACAGTAAATTATTTGTTCTTCACCCAAGTTTTCTGTTATTAAAAACCCTTGTTTACTTGACTAGAACCCAACTAACCAATAATATTATAACATCAAAGGAAACTCGAACTCTCAGAAGGCTTCTTTGCGAAAAATAACTGACTATTATTGAAGATTTTATTAAATACTTTTAAAATTTTACACATTTAAAAAGTATTTAATAAAATCTAAAATTGAAGATGAAATAGAGTAAATTAACGATAAATAGTACCGTGAGCATGAGGGTACCCTGCAAAATGCCTTCAAGTGAAATTAGTGGTAAAGTTCAAAAAATAGTTCTGACAGCATAGTGTTGTATTCCAAAGCAATTGTGCTTAGCTGTGAAACCCATAAATCTTTCTCAATTGAATGTACATACATACTAGGTTTTGTTAAATAGGAGACGTGTTCTCCACTCACTGTAAACATTATATGCATTAGGACCAACATCAAAATGATGTTAGCTCTGGCCCTTTACTAATCACTAACTGCACTTTCGAGAGACTATCGGAGGCCTAATAGTAGGCCTCGTAGAAAGATATTTGTAAAACATTCCGCAAGCATTTAGCTTGTGTGAGGTGAAGTGAGAGATCTAAATACTTAGTAAGACGTTTTATAATATTTAATTGTGTTCTAAATCAGAGATACATTAGTCACCAGGTAAAATAGTAGGAATATGGTTAGTTTAGGCGCTGCTTTACATGCGTCACTGCAAGTTTAAAAACTGGACCACCGACCAACCCACTGAATGAGATCGATGTCGGTTCTAATCTGTAATCAGTTCTGCCAAAAACACTTTAAGTTTATACTTGTATCTGAATCTCGGCAAAAACCTGTTCATCTTTGGAATCCTGCAGGCCTGGTAAAACTTCCGCTATTTGTCCATACCAAACCGAAATCAAAAAACAATTTAGTTATATAGTTAAGAAATTGGATTTGTTTAATTACACATAACATACAAAACGTGGGTAATAGTGGCCGGGAGGCCGTTCAGGTAACGATACAATTTTACCTGGAGACCCCAGGCTATAAGTATAATGTTCATAATCATATTATTATTAACATTCGGCGGAATGACAGGCTAGGCTAAGCGCGGCGCGGCCCAGTAAATAAAATTAAGTTAACTTTAAGAAGCTCATTAATAGTGCACGATCTACAAATACGATATTCAATCCTCAATTCTGCGACATAACAGTTAACTGAAACATCCCAATAAACTACGGAAAAATACGTATTATACGATAATGATGTCAGATGTGCATTAGCTTGCTTTATACCATTATGATTAAGACTAGCTCGAATAGGATTGCATAGTAGTGCTGTGGAAGCAGACAAATTCAAAAGACTGCAAGGAATCGTTCACATACTTTACGTAAACCAGATTTTGAACCATTTTAATTCGATACTTGCTTTTCATTATATATCTACATTTTACACTAAAATTGACCAGAATTTAGGAATGTCCAATGCTGAATGCAGGCATGAGGCATCAAACGATATATGTCTGATGTCTTATAGTTATAGTTATATTGGGGGTTGAATTGTGGATCAATTTCCCTTACCTGAGTTCTTCAGGCTTTGTAATATTACACGAGATTTAACGGAGAGGCTGATGCCGCCCAGTATAATTTATCGGCACGACGGCACCGCTTTGTTTTGACACGTGCATTGAATTTAAGCTTTATAAATATAGGGCATTCTGCATTAAGTTTAACCAATCAACTGCACAAGCAATTCAGGGTTTAATTTAAATCGGCAACACTTTGCTTGGCAATGTGCGGCCTACCACGAGTCTCTAAAGAAATTAGTAGTCTGACGTGAGACACTCAGACAGGTAGCAGTCACGATAATATACACCCCTTCAATTACAATATTACAATAACACTCCATTTATTTGATCCCGTTATACCACTATACACCATCTCCCTGGTTACACCCCATCCCATATGTATGACTCAGACTAGATATAAAAATGTCACTGTCAGGTATAAAGCTGGTCGACTAGTCGTATCTTGGGTTAAATCACTCCATTTCAAACTGGGCGGCGTTGAAAAGATAATTGCAAGCTTGTGCGTTCGTGATGTAATATTTTGTGTTTACCCGGTTTATAAATATACTTTGTGTTTATATCTGAGTATGCTGTTGTTTATGTTCGTGTTGTGAGTTTTGGGAGAAAACTGATTTTACCCCTTTTTACTGCCTCGTGCTGTTGATTCCCACTCCTGTAACATGTATTACCAATTAATGATAAATGTAATAGCATCAAAATATTGATATAGAGTTATAAACATATCTCTCAACAATTATACTCGTGTCATCGCTACTTCCAATCTTCGCTACACATAAAACTAAATACTGCGCAGTACCTGCAAACCTCGAACTATGGTACGTGCAGTCTGCCATCATTACTTAAACTAACATGCTAACAAGCTAGTGCACCTATGATCTTAATTCAGGCAGTGTTCCGCTGCGTCATTCCCCGTGCAAATCGGCTACTTAAAATCGGATTATACCACAGTTGCAACAGGAAATTACTCCAATCATACACGACGTGTCTCTCGATTATGTGCATTGTCCTATCTTTTCCAGCAATAACTCCAAATAGCTATCCTTTGTTTTGTTAAATTTGACACAAGCTGACGACACGATTCCTGTTCTGATTTTAGATCTCGGCCGATATTTGTTGAGTTGGTGATTCCAGCTTTTACACTGACACTTGTTGGACACAGAGCTGCCGTCTTTCAGCGCTAATTTTCTGAAACCGCTCTGATCTTATTTACAACTGATCGACTTTTGGCAATAAATCATCACATTAATAAAACGAAGACATATTATCGTCTGTACATTTGGCTTTGACGTTGTTTCCTGTGTCAGCACGATGAGTAAAAAGGCTATGAAAGCTCCAGATAGGCCATCTTCTAAAATGTCCAAAGCTACCCTCGCACCAAAGTAAGTAGATAGCGAGAAGGGGAATGAGTGAAGTTTAATCGAAAGTGATACATATTTTCGTTTCTTTTCCCGCTTCGTTTGGTTGTTTGCCATTTTTTATATGTGATATGTATTGATAATCTTGTATGTATTGGTAATTGTGTATGTATTGGTAGTAATAGTGGTCACAGTTGATTAGATTCGATCACTACAAATGAAGTAACGTTTCAAATCGTCCCCCCCCTCTGCAGGTCGGGCATGAGCGTGAAGTTGTACTTTCAACAGAACTGGAGACGAGATGTTAGAGTGTTTCAAACTGATCACCAGACAGAGTTTAGGAAGTTTTTAAAGCAACTTAAACAAGTTCTCAAACTTCGTGACAACCAAAACATTGTAATTAAATGGCAAGGTACGTTTTTAATTTATGTTTTTATGATTCTATGTTTTTATGTTTAAATAATGTTTTTACTTCTCATTTTCCCCTTTTTCAGTTCAAGTTTCATTTGCCTAGTGCTCTTCGTGTTCCCCCTTTTTTTAAATTTCTGCCCCTTTTCTTTCCCTTTCTCTGTCCCAAACAGTTTGTTTTGCTCTTGTTTTGACAATTTTGTTCTCCTAAAATCTTACTACATAAAAATTGAACAGTTCGAGTTGTCACAATATTCAAAAGGTACGCTTACTCAGATTTCTTTATAGCGCGGTTTTTTTGTTGTAAATTGTTACAGAAAATAACGTAATACACATTCTAGATTGCTAGATAATTCCTTTATATCACAATAAAATCATGATAAAGATAATCTGAGGCATGACATTTATTTGAAAATTCAATTAATTATACATTAGACATTAATTATACAATTAGACATTCTCCCTTTGTCTCAAAAGTTTGACTTGAATGATCTTATTTTTTTCCACAAAGTTCTGAACAATTTAATTCCTGTATGGCTGCCTCACTATCTCACTTTATATCAGGGCACTTCTCGACTAAGACGTTGCCACCTCGACAGTCTGTCTATTGTGTCATCAATTTTACCTAAGTTAAGTCAGAATTCACACACCTTATGTACCTCAAATAGCCCACTGGCAAAATCATTTTTCTACAGAACTCATATACTGTGGAATGGACTCCCTTTACAGGTAAGACAGATTGTGTCTACAAGTGTTTTCAAAGCTGAGGTCACTAAGCATCTATGGAAATGTTTATTGGATAGTGAAACAACAGCCTAGCCTAGTCTCTTTGCTCCCCATATTATTATTATTTTTGTTTTATTAATTTTTTTTATCTACCTTCCTATACTTTCAACATCATATCACACTTCACCCGCACACCTCACACATTAATGACCATATCAGACCTGTATCTAATGTATCTGGAATTTGACGTATTGAAATACCAATTTTGACTATATATCCACAGTTATTCACCATGGATTTGTTTGTTATTAAATAGTTTTTCATAAATTTTTGGATTTAGATTAATTCGATGTAATGGGTCCAAGTTACTGCGGACATAGTTCACTATGTGTTTACCGTGTTTGGGTGCCCATCATATTTTACAGATGGGGGCGATATTTTGAACGATTCTATTTTATATTCATCTATTGCTGTACTCTGTAAAATTTGAAAAGTATTTAATAAAAAAAAAAATAAAATAATATACATAAATCAAGCGTTACAATTCAGCCATGCAAAATTACAATGTGAGTTACATATAATTTTGATATACTAATTCAAATTGATAAATGGTACTGCAGTATAAGTTGCTTAATGTGTGGCCGAATGACAGCTAACTAAACAAGAAAAATAAACTTGATTATATGATAATTAATTCAGCTGAACCAACACATAGCAAGAGCCACATTATGATTAACGTTGCGGTTGAGGCCATCATAATCTAACGCCGTCATAATCTAACATAAAAAAGTGAGGAATTCTCGACAAATTAGTTATTTAAGAAGAAAAGATATCATAATGTCTCACTCTACAAGAACACAATTTCCGTCTCACGTCCGGAACAGCTAGACAAATCAAAACTGGGGCAATAGTTGCATACAATCCATCCAGCAGAACTTTCATGAGTCTACCACTTTCGTGCACTTTGTTTTCAACAGTCTGTGAGCTGACGAGGGGCAAAAGTGCAGCCCTGAGGGACGCCACGAAACTGACCGAGTGGAAGATGAGGTAGGAGACTGAAAGGAGTAGAGCTGCTTGGGAGGCATACAGGAGGGTATGATTGTAGGTAGAGATACCCTTGAAGTTACATATCAGGGAAAACAAAGATAATGTTATCAGGAACACGGGTATGATAACAGCTATCAGAGACCCGATGTTGATGTAGTTGATAACAACGTTATCTCCCGCACTACTCCACGAACATACCCCCCTATCCACTGTGTACCGTACCTCCACCCCAAACCTCAGCTGCATTAGTTCCACCGCCACCAGCAGGCACAAATAAACCACATGCATCACCACAAGCTTACATTTTCTCAGCAACTGCTCCGTTTTATACAGCAGACTCAACCCAATATCAACAGCTAGAACAGCCAGAAAGAAGGTTGAGAGGTTTGAAGTGATGTTGTAAAGGGGCAGTAAAAGTAGGCAGTGTTTTGGAGTTATGAGAGGGTGAGAGGTGAAGATGGAGGCAACAAGGGGTGTTATTTGGAGACAAATGAGAGCGTTGAAGAGAGAGTACAGGGTCAGAAGCTTATTGGTGATGACACCTCGGTGAGGAGATAAGAGCAGGAAGTAGGCGATGACCAAGATGTTTAGGAGAGTTCCTGGGATCAAGGTTGCCAGGGAAATGAGATTCTGCATTATTAAAATTGTAGCGTTCTGCTGGGACAACTGACCTTGTATTGCTTCACTGTTGTTCATCTTCACTTGACTTTATTGAGACTTATCTCTGCAACTGAATGTATCGGTCAGAAATTAAATGCACATATTCTTTAAAATCAACTATTTATTAAAAAGTTGCAACACTACGTACTTGGACTGGCTAAGTTTTGAGCACAATTTTTGTAAAACCTTAAAAGCAGAGCAAACAAAAAACAGCACAATAAAATTTTAAAAGCAGAACCAACAATTTAATTACGAAGGAGGTCGAAATCAAATTTCTCCCACAATTCTATGTTGACCCAGATCAAAATCTGGCAAGTCACTTGTAATTCCAAAATTTTGGTATCGTATGTCATAGTGCCTTGAAGTTTTAACACATGTAACCCTATCAGCTGTTAAATATCAGCTTCATAAGTAACGATAAAATACTCTACGTATTTATCTTATCGGTTATAAATCCCAAGGCAAATTGCAGACAGGAAAGCAAGTTTCAAATATCAGCCACACCCTAGCCACTTCACACTGCTGTTTGTCACGTGTCAATTGGCACGTGGCTCGGCTGCTTGTCACGTGGTATGTGTGTAAAATATTGGATTTTTTGCACGCATTAAAATTAAACTTACAATTCACACGAAAGTCGAAACCCAAAATCCAGACTTTCTCACTTTTCTCATATTTTTCGAAAAACTAGGTCACACATTTCACCAAATTTCACTGACTGTCACTAACAGTAAGAGTTTATCACTAACGCACGTGTTTTTCAGACGATACAGGCGACCTGATAACGATATCGAGTGACTCCGAAATGCAGCTCGCCACAAAACACATCAGACACACTGACACTCTCAATATCATTGTGCAGTGTGAGTACTAAACAGTCATTATTATGGAGAGAAAATACTTGGAACTGAGCATGTTCAGTTTCAGTAATGGTACAAATTATAATCTTTAGTCCTTTATGAGCATGCTTTTTGTTGACGTACGGTATGGAAATCTGAGGTGTTGCTATTTATAGAAGCTCAGCAAGTAAAACAAGAAACGAATATTCGTTGACTGTCAAGTGTCAATGAAAGCACGTTCCATAACATTTGCGGAGTATATTTCCAGTTAATATGTCAGTGACTTTAATTAGTGGTTAAGTACTCTGCAGTTTAAGAACTGATAATGTAAGTGTAATGGTCCGATCCAGGGTTAAACTTAATAAACAAATTAATTATTTCCGGCTAAGAAATGATAAGAAGGCTGTCAAATTCTCAGAAGGTTTGTATAGTGTGATAATGAGATTCAAGTCACTGGTGCTAGTCATCGTTAATTGTCAATATCTCATTAAAATCTAAATTAAATAGCAAATAATTAAACAACGCTCACTGCAGAAGTCAAAATACAGTTGATAACTGCCGATTAGTTCGAATCGAGCAAAGCACAAATTGAAAGGTTTCCCAGTCTCTACAGAATAGCTGATTTTACTTTTTCTTTCGATCAGCAATTAATTTCAAAAGCCAAACCTGACATTCTATTTCAAATTCGGCTCCTTTCGTTTGTCGAAGTGTTGGCCACATCGTCACTTTGCTGATGGTTCATGTATGATGTGATATTAACCCACTTTAGTTGGGACAGTACAGGGCACTGAGAAATTATCCCTACGACCTAATTTTTAAGATTGTTCCAGGTTCCCACAGAGGAACTGTTCACCGTATCAATTGTTAGAATGAAATGCAAATAACGCTACAGCAGGTGGTAGTCAGTAGTGTGTAAAAATGATGAATGATAATCTAACCCCCTTGCCTCAGCTCAAAATTTAAACCATCCTTAACATTCTTAATAAACTAGCTCGATTTATCTCCCTTCAGTGCTGGAGGAAGTTTCGAGTCCGACCCTTTGTGATAAGTGTGACCAGACGATTATCTGCAACATCCGGTACAAGTGCGACAAGTGTGCCAACTTCGTGTGCTGTGTCAGGTGCTACCAATCTGCTCACAACAGTAAGTGCTAATGAGATACTGGTGGGGAGGGGCGGGGGGGGGGGGGGGTATTACGAACTAATGTGCTGTGACCCAGCCCTGACTACTCCTGACTACTCCTGATACTCCTGACTACTCCTGACTACTCATGACTACTCCTGACTACTCCTGACTACTCCTGACTACTCCTGACTACTCCTGACTACTCCTGACTACTCCTGACTTCTCCTGACTACTCCTGACTACTCCTGGCTACTCTTGCCTACTCCTGACTACTCATCCTAAAGTAAAATTCCACAATACTACCCCTTAACCATTCAGAACCGAGTATCCACGAGCACGAGCTGTACAAAGAAAAGTATCCGTGTTATTGTCCAATGCACAGAACATCAGAAACTGATGTCCACACTTTTCCTCCAGACCGACCCCTCTCCGCTGTACCTCCTCACCTCATGCACCTTCCTGGTCAGTGCCCATTTAGACAAGAAACACCTTTCAAGTTAATTGTAATGATTGTTATTTTGAGTCATCGCACCTTATACAATTAATTATCATTGAACATCTAATCCACTAAAAATGTTTAACTTTTGCAGGAGACAGTCATAGAGGACGGAGCTCCAGTCTACCAAACGGTATCCAAGGAAATTACCACGGTCACCAAGGTTACCAAGGTCACCATGGTAACCAACAACACTATCCAAGTAACGGCTACCACAGATCCTCCAGTATGGGGCAGGGCGGACAGTATTCAAATAGTAACAGTATGGAGGATCTCATGATGCGAGGATTGAACCCAACTTGTCCGGACCTGCTACCCGATGACTATGATAACAACTATAGGACAGCAGAGAGGCGAGAGGTAAGGCACTAAACTTGATTCAGTTTATTTGTATGATAAGGCTTTCGCGCCAAATATCTGCATTCAGCTTCACAAGTTTCAAGTTTACGTGTATCTAACTTTTCCCTCGTCTTGTGTAGCTAACGTTGGACCGTTACCGTATGGAAGTAGAGCATGAACTGACAGCGGTAAGGCATAGTTTTTGAAAAGTATGCCGAGAAAGTTAGGAATTATGATAACATGTTTGATTGCTTCGTGAATCATCAATAATAAGATTACTCACCAGTCATAACTTCCTGCAAATTGCATTATACATAGTGTCACCATTTTAGTATCTCACGCGACTGATTCAAGCACTACTGTAAGTGTAATGATAAATACTTCTGCATCGAAATTAATAGAAGTTCGCATCTAATCGAAGCTTTGATGTTGTTACAATATTATCTATGAGTTGTAACATCAGCTAGATTTTGCAAAAATGAATTTCCTCACCATGAGAAGTATGACTATGAGTGCTTGTAGTAATGAGAAAGATACTTTACCAATCTTTGTCATCAATATCATATGAAGTATAACTTTTGTTTTCATGTCCTGACTTTCTTGTTTACAGGTTCTTAGTGGCCCAGAAGGACAGGTCTACAAGCAGCAGCAAATGTCCGTGTTCCAGAATCCAGAGTCCGGTGTGGTTGCAATAAGGTCTAGAAGAAGTCGTGAAACCAGGTCCAAAACCCAACAACTCGGCTGATGTGTGATATTGTGAACCGGCCATGTCAAATGTTAATTTCTAACATGATCAATGACTCTACTTCTTAATTCTATATTAATATAGATATGTACACTTGTATGGATTTTATCGACAACTACAGTGCGTCGACTTAGAATTGGTGGTTTTAACATTTGTTTACTATGAGTATGATCAGCCGCTCAAAATACACATTAAAATCGATCCAATCATTAAGATTTTCAGAGTTTCTAACGTTTCGAGTAGAAATACCGTAAAGCCCTTTTTATTCAATATTCATTGTTATTATTTTTATTAGACATCAGAGATCTCATGTCTCAACCACCAATTCTAAATCATTGCACTATAACTATTGTGATAACTAACACTGCTAATTGATTATGACCAATTGCAATTCATATTTTGAGAAAGCATTTTAATTTAAAATGTGGCTCCTTCATCCTTTAAAATTGCATTGTTCATGGACCATGGACACTTGAATCATGAATCTGAATATTGAATTTGACTCGACTATGAGTATGAGTCAGTTGGTAATTAGCTAATTAAAATTTTAACAAATAATTTATAAATAGCAAATATAATAAATATCTTTATTTTAAATTTAACTTTAAAAGGCTAATGTATAACACATTCACCATGCATAGCCATGTGTATACGCGTATTGCGTGACGCACTTGTTTCACAAGTAGAATATATATCCTTTGCCGCCTTCGGCGGTCGCGCGCTAGTGCAATTAACAAGCGACGCGAGAGGGCTCTGGTTAGAGCAATATAACACAGAAAGCCAAATATTTGAAAATGCAGTTATTTTTGATTTTCTACAAAATTCAAAAATTTTAGATAATATGTGGAAACAGGAAATGAATCAAAAAAACGTCAAATTAAAATATTTGAAAATAAAGTATATAAATATTTTTGATTTGGAGGACTTCGCTGCTTCAACGCGCCGCACAAACTAGCATTCTTGCTTTGCATCGTCGATCTCCATGGGTTGACTTGTCATAAGTTGTATGACCCGCCGCGCACGAGTGCGCGGCTCCCCCTGTATCGTAGAATTATATATCTTTATATATTATAATTATCTTCACGATTACTTTAAAACCGAAACTAATTGATCGAATATCCTAATAAAGCATAAATTATTAGTCAAAATTATAATGCTAGCCCTAGCTCTATCCAATTCAAAGCCCTCTCGCTTGCAGTCACGCAGTCAGCAGTACGCTTGCAGTCACGCAGTACGCATAGACTCATGGCTAGGCTTGACATACGTTGCATGCCACTTTTCGCGCGCGAAGCGCGCGCCGCCGAATAATATCTCTGATATTTGTGATACGTAACATGTATCAAGGCTAGGCTAGGTGAAGGCTAACCCTGGCCCTGACTTCAAACAAAAATGAATTTGTAGTACATTGTAGCGTTATGCATTGTAGGTTTACAACCTACCAGGATGCGCGCCGAGTTGGACTCGTCGACGGTCCATGATATATGGAACAGATATTTTACGAGTATCACCCGTTATTGTAGCGCGATGCACTACTGGGTCGCGCGCGCATCAAATAATGCTTCTCGCAACCACGTATGCAAATCGGCGAGATGCGAAGGATTGACATCGTGAATCAACACCCGTTAACGTTATGCATTATATTACTAAGCCACCCCGCTCATCAAATAATTCTTTTCGCGACCTTTGTTAGATCGGCAAAATGCGCTATTGGGCGGGCCTCGCCGAGCTGCGAAGAATTGACATCGTCAATTAAAAACGAATGTTTTCAATAATTTATTCTGTTACAATTATGACGGTCGATCCACGATCATAGTGGATTTATAATTTAATTTTAATCCTGTGATAAATATGGATAACACAAAATTTACACTGCACTGTAAATCCTGGCCTGTGTAATCCAGTTAACGGGTGATACTCGTAAAATATCTGTTCAGTCCAACTCGGCGCGTGTCCTGGTAGGTTGTAAACCTACAATAATCGATAAATATCGTGTAATTGCTTTATAAATACCCAGGAAACCTTACTGTTAGGGGCCTAACTTCGGAAGTAAAAGAGATAGAAACGTCTGGTTTTCAACAAAATGTTCGCCTTGTAAAAATAACGTTTCCCCCCAGGAGGAAAATTCAAAACAATGTAGATTTTGAATTATCGCGAAAAGTCATATTTTAGGCCTTATAAAACTGCGCAGCTTTAACTTTGCAGATTCTTGTTCTCTAATTGGCTGAATCGTATCACGTGGTACGTGGTACAATTGCATTCTTGAAATAATTGAAGCGTGCAAATGCAATGAACTAACGAGCGCGCGCGGAGTTCAACAAGCTGTGAAAAGGCGATGTGTTTGGCTTATACTTGATACATGTTACGTATCACAAATATCAGAGATATTATGTTATTTTCCGCCTTCGGCGGCGCGCGCTTCGCGCGCGAAAAGTGGCATGCAACGTATGTCAAGCTTATACTAACTCTAATTGGGTATTTCGTCAAAAGTCATGCGAATCGATACTTATACATAAAACCGATACAAAGTTTAAAGACTTTCGGTTTCATTTTTAAAAGCATCCACTTTGACAAAGCATAACTCGCCATCAACCCCCCCGCCCCCAACCCCCCCTTTGCAGCTTCTCGGCTATCGCATACCCAGCAGACCTTACTGGCTAGCGATATTACTACAGGGTGATCGCCTTTTCACAGCTTGTTGAGCTCCGCGCGCGCTCGTGAGTTCATTGCATTTGCACGCTTCAAACATTCCAAATGCCAAAGATGCAATTGTACCGCGTACCACGTGATACGATTCAGCCAATCAGAGAACAACAATCTGCAAAGTTAAAGCTGTGCAGTTTTATATGACCTAAAATATGACTTTTCGCGATAATTCAAAATCTACGTTGTTTTTAATTTCCCCCTGGGGGGAAACGTTATTTTTACAAGGCGAACATTTTATTGAAAACCAGACGTTTCTATCTCTTTTACTTTCAAAGTTAGGCTCCAGCCAGTAAGGTTTCCTGGGTCACCCTGTAGTAATATCGCTAGCCGGTTGTTATATACATGCAAATTGATAGTTTTTTCTGTTATGGTATATAGTGTTATAAGTAGCCGGCTCCGTAACTAATAATCTAACTTGATCATTAAGCCGTACATCTTCCTTTGTATACCGCTTGTATTACCATCATCGGCCCACAATTACACTTATTAGGAATCTAACAACTAAGATAGGGTGCCAGTTCCCATGCACTGCCGGGTAGCTGCCCCATATCTTATCATATCAAACCTTACTAAAACTTAATCTCTCATCCGTATCCCCGTCGGCCAAGCTTATAGTTACTAATATTCCTCAAACAAGAGCCGGTAGCTTAGGACAACTTTAAAATTTAGTATATGTAAGATTTAGTAAATATAGTGCGATAAGGAGTTAAGTAAATTATAGTTAACAATTGAGTCCCAGATCGTGAGACTGCATGAAGCCAGCAAGAAGACCTAAAGACCCGTGGAAGAGGCAGTTGACGGCGGTTGTGGAAGAGGCGGAGACACAAGAAACTTAGAAACACAGGAGGCAACCTAGCAGACCCACCATCCTATAATCTCGGCCGGACCTCTTTAGTTTGTCCTTCCCGGCCGTGGTATTCCTGGCTACTCTATAAGTCCAGTCCTTACTAGCTCCTCTACTCTGCCCAAGAATTCCAGGCTGATACCTAATCCCTTACTATACCTTATAATCTTCTTCAAGCCTTGAGCGAGTATCAGCCCGTGGGCCTACGAGCACAATTAGGTGGGTCTGCGAATGTCTATCCTTAATTTAAATTATCCTTTCTAACAGTAATAGTTTTTTTAATAAAATCACCATTATAGTCGTTGTCCTTTGCAATTAGTGGTCTAAAACAGTAATTTTAATACTAATAGGCATTTTCATATTTGACCTACAGTAAAGTTTATAACACTTCTAATTTCGCCCACTTCTGTGTCTCTGATATTAATTGTATTTACCGAACGACGTTTCTAACCTAATTATGCCTCAGGTCCTGTCCCCTCCTTACCTTCGCCTTTCTGCAATCGTCGTTCGACACTCTGCCCTACTTTAACTTCCACGTAGTTCCAGTTCCAGAGACACTAAAAATAGACTTTAGGAAGACGACATGTTGTCGCGTTAAATTATAGTTTGGTTCTTTTAGTATTACGTGTAGATCCTTTTCTTTATATAATTTAATTCCCTTGATTATATCAGTAGGCGGTGCACGATAAAAATAAACTAAAAAGCTCGGATTTTCAAAATTTTTGTACCATCGTTTTGTAGAGACTGTGAGAATTTTCACAGTACCAAATTTATTATACCTTTTTGAAATGATCAGTGAGTTTCTCCTAGGTGCCATATTTGATGGTGCGCGGCTTTTGGAGCAAAATTAGGTGTAAAAGTCGCGTAATTTGACGAAATTCGTTGATTTTTGTCGTATTATTCTGTCATATCTTCGGTTCCTGAACATGAATCATGCTAAAAATTTGTCAGAACCTTCCAAGCATACTTAACTACCGAACCTAATTTAGTTGGGGGAGATTGGCCTTGAATAAGAGGTCTAAAAATGACAAAATAGGTATAAATTCGTTGATAACTCAAATTCTGACCATCGAAATTGCTCAAACTAAATTAGGTTCAGTAAAACATAAATGTTTACGTAAGCTGACCAAATTTCAATACAATTGTTAAATGGGAAGTATTATAACTTTTCGATTGTTTCCAAAATAATGTGCTGGCCGAAATAAGAGCTAAAAAACCATTCAGTGGTCAGCGCGCGCGTCTTATTGTCGATGGCGCACTGCCTAATATCAGTGTGTTCATTCTCTACTCTCCCTGTAATTTCAAAGTTAACCAACTCAAAACTAAACCTTCTACTTTCCGGAGACGTCGGCTCGGACGTGCGGCCCCTTAGTATCTGCTTCCTTAGGTCTATTACTAATACTGCCTTAAATTAAATAAGAAAGAAACACAAAATTGGCTGGGTCTTCCAACAAGGAGCCCAAGCAAAATAAATAATAGTTGAAAGACCAGCCATCTTAGTATTCTACTTTTACTTCCTATCTAACTTGGTTCTGTTCCAGACGGCTAAACCGTGGCATAACACCTGAGTCTCTACCTTCCATCTGGACAGAATTATCCTACACTGAATATGTTCCATAAATTCCAAGTCATCCATAAACTCCGCGTAAAGTAAAGTCAATTAAATACGGCCTTAAAATTATAATACCCGGATATAACACCGGTATATAAGGTTTCCTGGGTAGTAATATTGAATATTGGATGCGCCGCGATGCATTGCTACATGTTGTATACCTATTACCTCTCGTGCACGCGAAGCGTGCACGCCGGCCGGCCGCGCGCGCTTCACGCGCGATCAAAAGGGGATGCTGAGCTGCGTGTGTCAAGCGATGCACTGATTTGCTCTAACCAGAGCCCTCTCGCTTGCAGTAGCGCGCGACCGCCGAAGGTGGCAAATTCTATTTGTGAAACAAGCGCGTCACGCAGTACGCGTATACACATGTTTATGTGAAGAGATTAGGCGGAATGACAGGCTGCAAGCGCTGTGCAGTAACGAGCTAAAAGATAAAAACTTCATGATTTCTTGATACATGTTTCGTATCCAAATATCAGAGATATTATTATTTTTCCGCCTTCGGCGGCGCGCGCTTCGCGCGCGAAAAGTGGCATGCAACGTATGTCAAATGATTTCAATGCCTTCGCATCTCCAATCTCGCCGATCTGTATATATGATTGCGAAAAGATGCGCGGCGCGGCCCGGCCCAGTAGTGCATCGCGCTACAATGTACAAGATAACAACAAACAAATGGATATATGCATATATTTTATTACTAAATTAACCATTATTATATAAGTTCGCGCTAATATTGTAGCGTTTTCCTTTTTTACATTATTACAATTGGCGACCCTAAACACTAAACCTTTTTTACGTTCCCTGTTTAGTTACCTCCGCGCGCGCAATTATTGTACTTTTACAGGTTGAATTTCTACACTACAATTCACAATTAAAAATTTGCACATGCACAATTCACAATCACAATGAATCAATTTAAAATGAAACAATTTAAATATCAGTAAAAGCTTTCGTAAATATTTTTTAATACATTCAATATTAGTTATGATTAATATATAAATTTTGACAGGTTTAGTTTTTGTCAGGTTACGTAAAGGTCACAAATTAATCGCAAGGTTTGGATTTTTAAATAACGTTTTATCATGATCACAGATCAATGATGCTATTTTATGCTGCCGTGCCAGCAACCTTTTCATCCTCATTGAAGAATTAAATTGCTTGCAACATATTTTCGAAATATCGACTCCTCTATATTTGTCGCCAAGCATGTTATGTTCTTATGATTATATCATCACCTAATATTTAAAAACCGATCAAACCATATTTTTGACTTTATCAAATGCCTTTGTTGGTGCCCCAAATGCTTTATCAAGAAAGTTAGGCTCTGGCTGGTTTTCATCCTCAGGAAGTGGAGGTGGCATCCCCCTATTGCGTGTTGGTACCGGAGGTGGAGTTTCTTGTGACCTGAAATTGTTATATTGTATTCAAGTTATGTGATGGGGAGGGGTGACGGTTTATAAATTTAGGACATGTACTGTGCTCTGTTTAAATTATGTAGCCTTAAAACGTAACACATCACACTCTGTATTACTGCAACATTTCATTATCGATTTCAGCCTTTTAAGTATACTGTGAAGTGAGCAGCAATTCCAAATTAATTGTGAATGATTATTGCAGACTTCATTAGTCAACAAAGTTTACAATCTCAGATAATAACCTAAAAAGATTTGAGCTGTTTGGTATGTCTCTACTAGGTTAATCTTGTCTCATGTCGCAACACCTGATTTTTGCTAAATTTCGTGACAATTTGCTGCAAAATGGCCGCGTACCTGTTCAACGCAGGTGTCACAGCATGGAACAAGGTTAATCAGAAAACCATTATAATTGTGATCATCTTTTTAAGTTCACTAACCATATTTAAGAAGTTAGACTTTTATTTGTTCTGAAAAATTCGCCATTTTCCCGGTGACAAATCCTAGTATACTTTCGGGACTACTTTGAACACGTTCCATTTCTTGCTCGATGGTAATTGGTTTCCTAAAATTATATGTATAAAGCAGTCTTACATGGTCCGAAAGTCACCTCACCAACTGCACCCCCCTTACATTCATAGATAGCCATACTGAGATATATTAAACAGCTCAAATCAATTCGGGTTCACTTGTCCTATGATATTATTTCATACATAATTCATATTCTTCAAAATGTCAGGTTATATACTTGATTCATTTTTATATTTAAGTAGTTAGTTTATGAAATATTTAACTTCCTTTATTTGAGCCAAGCCATTTATGTTTGGAATTATATACTCACACTGGTCTGTTACGAAGATATATCACCCTCACAACAACAATTGCAGCAATGATAACGAGAACTGCAATGACTGCTCCAGCAATTGTAGCTGCATGGCTAGCTGAAGATAATTTGAAGATAACACATTCCATGTAGTAAATTTTTCTTTAGTCTCAAAAATAATATATTGAAATTGGAACTCTAGGTACTGAACAGTCCACAAATGTGAATGGTATAACAGTCGAACCCATATTCATAGTAAGTCCCTAATTTTTGGTGAGCTTAGATTTACTGTTGGGCATTATTATATGCAAGTGATCATAGTTTAAGCATATATTGAATCTCTTTAGAAACCTATCAAATTATCAAATTTTGCCATCAAATTTTGTCATCAAATTTTGCCATCAAATTGGGGCTGGATTTTGACTGTACAAAATGATTAAATCCTCTTACTTGGACATGATATGTCATACAAATTTCCTGCTCCTGCACATTGTACATTAAACATATCTTTGTCTTTATTTGAGCAGGTAAACTTTAGCTCCTCTTTGTAGGATAACATTGATCCAGCTTTCAAAGTTGTTGTTTGCAATGTGGCTCTTTCATCAACACTTTGAATGACACATTTTTCTGAAACACAAACGTTGACAAAACATGAAATAGTGCTTGAATTTATATATATGTTCTAATTGTGTACAACATTATTGTCACTTTAAGCTATTACTGATTTAATATAAAAAAGTGTTATAGATAAACTGATAAACTGTATTTACTGTGCATTAGGAATACTAGGCAAGCTATGTAAAAAATTGAATAAACTTACTATAACATGTTGGTTGAGTATCAGTCTTACATAGAGCCTTGTTAGTTGTTTCATATTCTAGACTGTAATTTGAATTACAAAATGTTGTTAGCGTTGTTCCCTCAGATACAGTATATCCAATGGTAGGAGAGCGGAAACCATTAGCCACATCTTTGACAGTGCATGTGACTGGAATATATAAATTATTAACTGCTCTACCAGGGTATAAGTTCGGGCATAAAGTCAGTCTTACAATTTAGTGTTCAGAGAATTATAACCGAGTCAAATACATTGTATTATGTTTTTACCCAAACAATCAGAGACACTGTCCGAGCCTGTTGTGATAGTTTTCAGAGAATCTGCACAGTCAATGCACTTTGTACTTCCAACAGTATCTGAGTATGTGTTAACAGCACAGGCTGTACATACACCATCTTTTTCATACTCTCCAGCAGGGCACTTTACTGATAAAATGTGACAAAATAAGATTATTTTCACACTGTTGTGATTCGCACTGACATTATAAGATTTAAACAGAATGAGATTAATGCTTAAATATGTTTCTCCTTTCTTGTATTCTGTTTAATGAACGAATTTAATGTTGAAAGTTAAAATCAGGGACATACTGCAAGAAGTTCCTACAGTTCCAGACCCAGCAGCACAGCCCGATTCCGCTGTTGACACAACAGTTCCATCTGCTGTGAGTGTTGTTGCCCTCGTTTTTCGTCTCTTACCACCAACAGTCAAAGTAAAAGTCTTTGCAGCTGCATCAGTCTTCAGTTGAGTGTTGAATGCATCAATAATAGCTGATGTCTTGAGGTCTCCTCCACTTTGTTTTACAACAAATTCGAGAGACAATTTTCCATCAGAATCTGAGGAGCACTTCGCACTCTGGTTGAAAACTATTATTATCGAACAACATTATTTCCACCAAAAATACTATTATGTTAATCGATCTGGTATCCAAGATAACTGTTTGATCCTGACAGGTTTTAGTTACCCTCATCTCACTATTAATGGCTGTCCCGTAACACTACTGTGTACTAGGCCGGGATTAAGTCCGATAATAACTCACCCCTGATATAGCACACTGATTGTTATCCATACAATTATAAGCTTCATCACTACTGCTCTCCAAAGCAGTTTGTAGTGCAGCTGTTAAGCCATCAATACAACTGTCTGAACCAGCCAGGCCTATCTTTGCAGTAAGATGGTAGGACGTGGGGTCTGTTTTGTCTGAAATATTGTGTCTTTAATTATTATGAGATAACTACATAGAATAGGCAGTATTGTACATTTAACTAAAAAAATATTTAATGAAATAAAGAGTGTGAACTGTGAAGTGTTCGAAATGTCCACATTGAAATTGCTATAAGAATCCTCATGTATATATTATGTTGGATGAATAGTTGCTTGAATTTCTTACCAGAACAAGAGGGTAAAACACCCAGTGGGTTACTGGCTGACATGTGCGACCATTCAGCAGTTGCTGTGTTACAGGTGACCTTCTTTGTGGATGTCAGTGCACCGCCACTGTTAAAGAACTGGTCACTTGGACATGAATAAGTGCACGCTACAGGAGTTACTGATGTGTCACAGTCCATTGTACCGAAACCAGTATGAAGTGTCGGGCATGTCACGACATTCAGATCTGAAAGTGTAATACATATTTGGTTTGATTAATAAACATTTTTCAGAGCCAAAAAAGTTCCTGTACTCTGGTTTGGTTTTATAAGTTATTAATTATATGGTCTATGCCTTACCGATACAAGAAACATTTCCACTGAAAGATTTGTCAACCTGGCAGGTCAACTTGTCAGGTCCTTCCCTTTGGAAACCATCAGCGCACGAAACTTTAACCACTGTACTGTACAGAATTCTGAAAATCTACAGTTACAAATGTGCTGGATTAATAACTACGAATCAATATGTAACAATGGACAATTGTGAAGTATTCGAAATATATAGGCAAACTTTTTACTAAACAAATTATAGGTCTTTAAATTCATACTTTTCAGGTGCTTCTTTGTCATCCACAGTGTAAAGGGTTGCATTAGCCACCGTTGGAACAACGCAGTAAACTGTAAGAGAATTTCGTATTTATACAAAAAGTTTCTGATTTAGTTTTCATGATAAACTCCCTAAAGATGAAATTATGATAAGTGTGAACTGTGAAATCATGTGAAAATAATGCTAATAGTTGTGTTGAAATTGGATTATAGGGTTTGTTAATCGTAACAGTTGCCATGCAAAACATCCTGCGGAAAATTTATTTTTATTAAGAATTTGCATGAAATATATTCTAAGAATGGTTTAAATCAATCAACTTTGAAATGTTGTATACAAATATTTCAGGAAATTATTTGTTCATCAAAGAAATTATAAAAACAAGAAAATAAAATATATCACATGCACATACATTTATGAAACAGCCATTCTGGCTCCGAGAAGTAATTTTGGGCAAAATTTAACAATACTGTAAATTGTACACAGTGAATAAAAACGCATATCACAATAAAAATATACATAATTTTAGGAACAACATGTTTTAATTCATGATAGTTAAAATTATAGTTTAAAATATATGGCTGCTAAAAACTAGTTTCCTTCTTTTTATCTTCCGATTCATCATCTTCATCTGACCTGAAAATGTATTTTTTACGCAGTGATTTTCACAAAACACCTTGTAAACATCAGTTTGAAATTCAGCAAATCCACGAGTTGACACAAATAACAAGTTTTGGTTGAATTATAATAGATGAGTTTGTGCTTGACAAAAATACCGTTGATCTGCCAGATTGTAAGTTTGTTCATCAAGCCCTCTGAAGACTCCTCCCAATCCTACATTTAGTTTTAACATAGGCTCTACTGCAGTTTCCTCTCTTCGTGCCATCCTGGCAAAACAGATATATAAAATATGTGATATTGTACTATGTGACTGATTACATCTTATCAATAATTGCATCCGTAATTATTACTTATTATAGCTATCCTTTTCTTACAAACGACATGACATATTCAACCATCAAGTCAGAACAAGAAAGCTCATAAACTGGACGTTTCTTATCTTACCCCTTCTTTTTACCAGATATGCAACAAAGGAAGTAGACAGTAACCATAGTAACTGTCAGTAGTAATGTTCCTCCAGCAATTATTGCCAGCAATAGTATGATAGAAACTGATGGAAGAACGACGTTTTATTAAAGAAATTAGCGATTTAAAAATCCTATGTTATGAGGTGATTTTAGAATGTAATACCTTTGATATGAATGCTGCCTACGCTGTGGTTAAGTAGTTAGCAAATGCACAAGAGAAAATAGTTGTGAGGAATTTTTTGCGCTAAAATAATTGTTCTATTAATATAGTTACCTTTGTTACAGTAGAGGGAAACATTCTGCCCCGCATTCGCACAGATTGCAGTGTCTTTCTCATCATTACAAGTAAAATTAGCTGGCTCTTTATAAGCTAGCAGAGAATTAATCTCCACTGATTTATCCGTCACTGACATGCTGTCACTTATGTGGACTATCTTGCACATTCCTGGAGGATGGAGAGTATGTTGATTATGCGGTTGTTTATCCTTTATTTGGGGTAAGACTAAGTATGGCATGGAAATGTGCATATTAAAAGAGTTATGAAACTTGTATTTTGAGGCAGTAGCTGCTGCTAGCGTTGTTTGCAGTTCTGAAAGTGCGGATTTGGATTGATGTAATTTTAATATTTTTTCGCTCTTTTCAGTGGGTCGATCATATAATTTGACAAGTGATGTAACTTTAATTAAAATTGCTAAGTTCTACCAATCTAAAGAAATTTAAAGGTAACAACTAATAATTACACCCATCAGTTGTTACTTACTGTAGCAATTTGGGAAGTCTGGTTTGGTTGAATCAAGCTGTCCGCAAGGGCGGGATTGCAATATATTATGTTGAACTGAATAGTAGTCCTTACAATGGGTGTAGACAGTCGTCTTATCGCTGACTGTATAACCAGATGCAGGATAGCTGTACCCATTTACCATATCTGGTACTTTACATAATGCTGAAATAATCAAGTAAGTTCTTAAATCTTCTTTGGATGTGGACATACAACTATCAAATTTCATTGTATTGAGGATGCTAAATTCAACGTTTTTATCAGCTGTAGCATCGCAACCCAGCTGTGGGGAGTTTGAATATTTTTCACAAGTCATATTAAGACAAACCTGTACAATCAGATTCACTGTCAGAGCCGGTAGTGATGGTTTTCAGATCGTCTGAACAATCATTACACTTTGTACTACCGACAGTGTTTGAGAATGTGTTTGCAGGACAGTCGGTACAAACACCATCTTTTTCATATCGTCCAATGGGGCACTTTACTGAAGCATCAAAGTGTTTAAGTTTTAATGGTCATTGGTCATCGGTTTGTACTAGTGTGGTCATTTAGTACATACTAAGTGGGAAATCCTAAAATGCATATTTTAGAAGTCAAGTTATTGAAAGTTTAAATCTATGGCATACCACAGACAGTTCCAACGTATCCTGCCCCAGCTTCACATCTAGCGGTGGGACCGCTTATTTCGGACGTGTCACCTGTTAACTCTATCGCTCTCTTCCTACCTGTAAAAGATGTTTTAAATTAGGTATAATCGTATCGAAAATATAAATCGTCATTCCCTTTTAATATAACCCCTTTTTTAGCATTTTTAAGCTGAGACTTATTGGTATACTACCGTATTAACCTTATAACTAACGTTTTACGGTATTGACAGTTAACTTGAGGTTTTTGCTTTTTACATCAGCAGTGATCTGTGAGCTGAATGTTTCTACCGGTATCTTCAAGTCACCAGTCTGCTTGACGTTGTATGTTATCTTTAACGAGGTTGAAGAGCTACTGCATTTTACCTGTGAAAAATGAAAATTTATGAATCATTGGAAATTTAAGCTAATCGAGAGCAATCTTGGAATTTTTACCGTTCGAGCCGGCGAAAAATCGAAAATTTCTGTGGCATATAATTTTACCTCAGTTATACTGCACGCTGGATTTTCGCCCTTAATACAGCTGTAAGAGTCACTAGAACTACCAGAGAAGTACGTTGTCAGAGCAAGCTGTGTCTTGCTAATATCTGGACAGGATTCTGATCCCAGAAAACTCATATCCACAAACGTAAGGTAGTGTGTTGGAGTTATCGACGCTGAAAAGTGGTTTTATAATGTCAATGAGCTTATTTCTTTCCATGAATAGTTCATAATGAATTCCACATTTACAGAAAAGTGGATCCTAAACTGTCAACAAAATATTCAAATCGAGGAAAAATCAAAACCTAATTTGTATATCGCTAGTATTGAGCACTAAGCACTAAGTACGCACCTGCACATTTTGGTAGCTCCCCCAAAGGGTTGCCCCTCGACATGTGGGACCACTGTGCTGTGGAACTATTACAAGACACACTCCCACTTGTCTGCAAGGTTCCATTTAACTCGTACAAATACCCGTCTGGACAGTGATGTGTACAGGAGATAGGATCAGCTGTCATGTCACATTTCAGTGTTCCAATCCGTACTTCCAACACAGGACACGTGACCTTGCTTATATCTGAAGTGATGAAGTGATGTGTTGTTGCTTGATGAATGCATAGCAATGTGGTCAATCGTCATATCACGTAATCATGTACTTCGTGATGTTAATGCGATAGTATTTATTAATACATTACAAGTGTCATTTACGCGTTTGCTTTGTTATACTGATCATTAATTCTGTTTGTTCCATTATTTTTGGTTGCTTTCATAATTTGTTTTAACCTGTGCAGGCAGGTGTTTTTGAAAATTCTCCGCTTGCCTGGCAGTTGACTCTTTCCTCTCCCTCATGTAGGTAACCAGCATTGCAAATCACTGTCAGTTCAGTGCCAAAGATAAACCTGTACATTTTAAATTTAGATTTTTCCCCAGCTGTTAACATAAAAATGTTTGGCTTCATTCCATCATTTCCTAGCCAGACGTTTACATTACGATCGTGAAGTACATAAGGTCTGAACAATGAGCATACCTGCTTGTAACGATAGCCGAACCATTCTTGAATTGGACGGTCGCATTCCCAATACTTGGCAATTCACAATATACTGAAATTGATTTATTATAAGATACAAAACCGATAGCAACAAAGTAGATGGATAGTACAGTTCGAATAAAATTCCTTCAAACCCAACCAGTCCATACCCCAAGCTGTAATCCTCTAAAATATTTATCTGAAATATTTTCCTCGGAATATATTATGTGCTTACTGCTTAGTACGTAATATGATAACCTCCCTGAAATATTTTAGTACATGAGATGATGCATGAACTGGCATATAATACCATTTAAAAGTAAAGGTGAATCGTTAACTATTATTAAAGCAATTATAAAGCAATTATTGAAACACCAAAACTGTTCCTTGAAACATATAATTTTCTCATTTTTGAGATTTCACTTTCGAAAGCATGGGTTCGTACAAAAACATAAAATAATCAATTAAGCAAATATTTAGCCGGCATATACAATATACATGGCTCCTAATAAGTCAATAAATCGGTTTAATCAATGATACATCATGATCAATCAAGATACGATCCAGATACAATGAAAAACGGTATAGTAAGTGACCCCGGATGCATTGTTCAAACTGTACACTGCCGTTTACACTTCACAGCAAACAAATAAAAAGAGAACTGGAAAATGTAAGCAAATTATTGCCTACAGGAAGTGCAAGCAGGCGTAAAGCCCATTTTAGGGTAAACTGGTGGGAAACTACACAAAAAATTATCCTGTAATATCCTTTGCAAGATGAACATTCACAAATATTTCCTGTTCACTGGCCAGCAGGTACCGCAGGAGAGTTTTCAGGGCCTTGTTCGTTATTGTCTACAGATCCATAATGAGAAGGGTAATTTTCCCTGACTGAGTCTCTGTCATCTTTCAGTAGGGTTCCTCTAGTCTCATTTCTCAGGGCCAAAGTTGTCAGCGCCGCTACAGACATGATGATGATGTAGGTGTAGATTGTGTAGACGATACTTACTGTGTCCAGAAGTAAAGTTGTTAACACTCCTGCCGCTGCTCCGAATTTGCTGAAATGTTTGTCAGATTTTATGGCCGTCTTGATATTTTATGGAAGTGAATATGTTATATTACCCACGATTAAAATAGAGACATGAGAGGCCAAAATATATCTTCCCTAATAGTATATCATTACGTGAGAGCAAGTGAGCTAAGACAACTAATAATAGGGCCTACCTTATACCGTTGATAAGTCCAACAGCTGTAGAGCGAATATACGTTGGATAATACTCCGGGGAGTATATCCACAACACAGCATTGAATATAGTGTAAAACGTCATGGCTATGAAGAGTTCAGTGTAGATGACGATACTCCCGAAACAAAAGAGTAAGAGACATGTTCCAACAAGACCACCCCAGGTGGAGTAATAGAATGTTATGAGTCTACCCAGTTTGTCACAGGTCCAGGGGCCTATCATGTAGCCGGGTATTCCCAGTATTGTTATACACAAGAAGAATATGTACTCCGCCTGTAGGAGGGGGAAATTGTATTTAATTCTTCCAACTATATGTTTTGCTCTAAACTAAACAATTAGAAAACAGTATGACACGAGATTATCCATGTTATTTAACAATTGATATATTCCGGAAAAGAAGCTGAATGTTAAGCTTTAACCTTGTCCATTGTCCCTACATACACATAACTCACCCTTGTGTAGTTTATACATCCACTCTCAGTGATGTAGATAACGTCAAACCACTCTGACATTGAGCAATAACCATGAGACATCATGTCAGGAACTAGAAACAGAATACCATAGCAAGTCCACATGTTACAGATAAAAAGAACCGTCAGGATCACTGATGTTCTGCGAGTATTTATCACGTAACTATTTCCTGGCCACTTAAAGGTGTGGCTTTTACAGGTTCAGATAGAGGGCCCTTTAAAGCTTTGGGTCCCTCATTGAATTGGCCTATGTCAAGACGTGATGAAATATCCATCATCCTGTGCAGTGTGCGACTCTTTAGAATAAAATAAGGCAAAAGTAAGATGTTTCAATTCGCTTATTCACTGAATTAAATTTTTTATAACAAACATATTTTGTCGTCTGACCTTGTATGAGGCTGTTGGAATACGGCCATATACTCTCCACAAGTTTCATTCTTGACTGTAAGGTGACACTCAACTGGAGGTTTTCCATTAGCCTCACACATCTTGTTTACAACGATGAAAGCCTTATCTTCTTGACCTGATAGAAATCATTATAGAGCACAAATATAAATCCAATAAGTCCAATAACCCGGCGTTGAGTTTAATGAAATAACTAACCGTTAATAACAAGATATCGTGGAGACTCCTCACAGAAATGCAGCATGATCAGAGTAAAAATACAGGGGACAACAGTGCCCAAAACTTGGATCCTCCAACCATTCTCTAGTCCCATAACTGCGATGGCCAGTAAACACTCGTAGATACCACCCAATACCCACATTAGATTTAGAAGGAAACCAGTAAAGGCTCGGTCCCCCTTGGGAACAAATTCTTGTGCATAGACCACTGATACACCATAGCTTGCTCCAATACCAAACCCTAAAGATTTGGAAATCATTGGTCATTGGCCCATAGTATCCTAAATTATAAATAAGACCAAAGTTATGTGAGAAATTTTGTTGTATTTGGCAGTTGGCTGTGTTTGGCTGTGATAAATACTTTACCTGTGAGAGATCTGAAGATGATAAACATGACATAAGAAGTAGCAACAGCCGAGGCTGTTCCGGTCACACAGATGACGTAGTATGCAGCCAATAAATTAGGCCATCTCCCAAATTTATCAGCTAGTTTTCCGGAAATTATGCTTCCTATGGCATAAAAAAACAGGACGCACGACGGTATGAGTGCCATCTCGATTGTACTCAGATTCCATTCACATACCAGCATCTCTGCGAAAGAAGTTTTCATCATAAAGTTGTACCGAGTAACGATGCCCCCACCTAAGAATTAAGAACCTAGCAAAATTAAAATCAATCCTTTTAATTGCCGATTACTCCAGTCTACACCTTGTTTAGGCACCTCAACTAACAAATTCAAACGTTTGTGATAGTACAGTTTTTAAAAAAAAATTTTAAATTTCAAACCATACTTATGATAACGGAAGAGAGCCATATTTCACAAGAGTCTGCAAAAGACATCATCCCCATTACAAGTATAACCTTCCATTGGTACCTCCCAAATCCAATCTCCTCTATGCACTGATTAACATCTGTGGTTTGTTTCTCTTCTCCAGAAGATGAAGGCCGCGATTCTGTTGAAGGTGATTCTGTTACGTGCCCATCAGTTAATTCTTCCACAGCTGACTCAAATGGTGTTTCTCCCTCTGTTTCATTGTCAATCAAATCATCGTTAGGTTGTTCTAAAGTTGCTAAAGGTTCTAAAAGTAAAGGTTCTTGAGGTATTTCAAGAATGTTTTCCTCATCAGAAACCCTTCTTTTTCTAAAAAACTGGAGATTAACCATGAAAACTGCACTAAAAGCTAGACGGAGTGTGCTACACGTGAACAACAATGAAAATTCTGCTGCATCTGCAGTATTTTGTGTACACCAAGTAAACTTACTCTCAGTTATATGATGTGCTTACAAAGAATTGCTTAGCTCTGACTATTATATAAGCATTTCCAATGATTTATTTCGATAAGGCGTATTATTAATTATCCAATTCAATAATTTCCACATCGGTCAAGTAACATTAGAGAATTAAAATGCTTAAGATAGAATTTTCAAGTTCAAATTATACAATTATTAAATGATTATACATGATTATGCCTAACATATCAATCATCGAATTAGTAGGCTTCCAGTAGCCACGTTTAGCAGTTGCTTATGCCGAGCAACCTATTAGTGTATCACTTGAACAATTATTTAAAGATATAAATACTCCAAACTTACATAACAATTATAGCCACCAATAATATAACTTAGACCAGGGCTAAAAATGACGATCAAACCACACACTTATTCTTGAGTTTACAAAGAATGTTAATTCTTTTAACACGAACATTAAATCAGATATTAGGAATAGTGAAACTAGTATTAAATCATATATTAGAAATAGTGAAATAGTAAAATAGTGAAATAGTATGTATCAGACAATATCAAGGACAAGACGCCTCGCAAGATTTCCTAAGTGAAATTGATATACATAGTCATTTACAAATTTTCAGTTTTTAAGCTTTGTTTGTCCGAACAGTTTCCAACAGGTTTCTTAAACGAGACAACGTTACAACACACTTATCACCAGCAGGTATTTACAATATCAAGGCAGAAGTCTGTCTCGCTCCCTCCTGCATTATAACTGGGTTGGGAACGAAACATCTCCCAATTGAAATAACTACAATCCTAATCCTGGAGTTCAGGAAGTCACGGAAGCCCGTCACACTGACTGTGTAGATGTAGAAGTTTGAGATGATGTTCAGATAAACTATGTACTCTGCAAACCTAACATAATAGCGTGGCTGGTTGTTTGCACTTTCTAAGAGGCTAACTGCAAACGGAACATTTGCTATGACATAGACAACGACTGTGAGAAGGACTGTTCTGACCCCCTGCCACTGGAGTCCCCCTGTTCGTCTATCAGCAATCTTCTTTGCAAGAAATAGCAGCATTACACTGCTGACTATGGTTATTGCTGTAGCGATGATCACGACTCCTCCCAAAATTACTCCAGATACAATAGGATAACGGTTCCTATTGAAATAATCACAATTGTAGCTCATGTAACTAAAGTAAGCACCTCTTTCATAAATTGCCATCACTCCGAAACAGAACCAGATTGTCCATATCCCCAGTGTCGTGAGATTGCCAATCTTCCTTGAGAAGTTTACTGCTCTTAGTGGATATTTCACTATTAGAAGCTTGGCAAATGCAAGTGCACTTATAAGAAGACAGCCTGTTCCCCCAAAGATACCTGTCATGAAGATACTTGCAGAGCAAAAGATATCACCAAAGATCCAGTCATTAGCAATGAGAGAAACTGCACCAGGCAGGACTCTGAAAATAGAGATGACCAAATCAACAACAGCAATGTACTGGATGAAGACCACCATGATCTTGTGGAGTTTTATAGCGTTGTACCTCATGGAGCCAATGAGAATGAGGGTGTCTCCTATCACGGATGATAGGAAAATGAAGGACGTGTATGCAGAGAGAAGATACCTTTCAGTTTTGTCGTGGATTCCATATCTGGTGTAATTATCGTACTTCATTTCAAGACTGGAAATCCTAGCAACCACCGATACGAACACAAGGGACTGTCACAGAGAATTGCACAACCATTGAGCAGACTTGGTCTGAGAGTGGGTACGTGTATTTAATACAGATGTATAGTGTATAATAAGAAGCCCCCTCCCAGATTGCAACATTGCCGTGTTACAAAAATATTGTATCATTTTGCATTTGAGAACGGTCATTCAAATTAATATCATTTCTTTTTGTTTGGGAAAGGGAGACACTGGCAGCGGTCCATTATGGGTTTTGGTCAAATGTATAACAATAAAATACGGTAACATTTAAATTATTGTAAGATGAAAAACATTGAAAATAAAAGCTTCTTCAAGTAAAATGTATTTACTTGCAGATGCTGCAAATTATGAAATATACCAAGGGCAGATGTTGCTGTTATCTTTAAAGACTAAAGCACTTCCGGGTAACCTAGCGTAATGAACTATTAATAACCCTAGGGGTCAGCCATTACCTTGAAAAAAGGGCAAAATTTGGATTCAAGTAGTTAGAGACAGTAACGAGCTGGAAAATGATCTGCTGTAAATGTCATAACTTCAGACAGATTATGGTATTTTTTTTCTGTGGAAGTTGAAGTGGCAATTATTTGACAATTCTGAGAGTTCTTGCGCGGCAGTCTCATCACGTGACAGCTAATGGTACCTACTCAATATCATAGTGTGATCTCATCAACAAATATAGAGTCGGGCCTACTTCCCTATGTTGTTCAAATATTCGAGTACATGTTGTGCACGTGATGTTAGATGCCATGGTGGAGAGATAAAGCACTTGTAACACGTCACGTGTCATACGTGTCACTTATTGCCCAATCACCTTGCAGTGTAGGCCAGTCAAAACCTACAATAACAGCCGTGTTTCGAAACAGATTGGTTAACTTGGTAAATATCTGAATCTTATTCAGCAGATCAACAATCATTAATAATTAATTGGTGTTTAAGGTTCAAATTAGTCACTTTTTATCGAATAGAATAGAATAGAAGGTAATATTGAAAAATGTCATTAGATGCGGATCGTTTTCATTGCCCTTTATTTTCTTGTGGACTCTCCGAGCCGTTTTCATTATTTTCGATTGAGCTGTACATTGGATAATTGTTCTGGGCCTGATCCTTCTCATCCTGCAGCAGCAGCCCCCTTGTTTCTTTGTTCAGTGCCAAAGTCATTAACGCAGCAATTAGAGTTATGATGATGAATGTAATAATGGTGTACACTATGCTAATTGTGTCCATCACTTCGGTTGTAAATACTCCCGCTGCTGCCCCGAACTTACTGTAATAAGAAAGGATCTAGTTTTAAAGATACAAATGTAGCATTATCATATTTTAGTACTATATTGTAGTATATTATAAGAGGAGGTATGCGCGAGTTACTATCAAATAATCAAGTATCATCAAACCTAATTCAAGTAAAATTAAAATCCTGAACTTTTAATCGATAGAACTGTTGGATAAGATCACTTCAGTCCGTTACCTGATGCCGCCTTTAACCCCGACTGATGTGGTGCGGATGTAGGTAGGAATAATAGGATAATACTCGGGGGTATATATCCACAAAACAGAACCCAGAATACAGTAAAAGGTCACTGCAACAAGTAACTCTAGGTAGATGAGTATACTGCCCAGACAGATTAATAGCAGGCATGTCACACCACAACCTCCCCAAGAGGAGTAGTAGAAGGTAGTGGTAGTGTCCCTAGTTTCTCACGGGTCCAGGGTCCGATGATGGAGCCAGGGGCAGAGCATATTGTCATAGCAAGCATCAATATATACTCCCCCTGAAATATTTCCAATTGGAGCAATCTAATTAAAGGTATATGAGCGTATTGAAGTGGTGATAAAGTCACAATCTGAAACAACCATCATCTGCTTATCTGATGAATTACTCATTGTAAAAGATTGTCCATATTTTTTTAATGATATTGTGTTAAAAACTTAAATTTCCTCCTTTAGGTACCTCCATATTATAATGATAATATGTATTACACAATATGATGACACATTTGATAGAAACTGTTGGTCAAATTACAACAGCAAATTTATTTGAAAATTGAGAATATATAATCTTAATACTACATATATCATATGAGCATATGATAACTAATATCACGACCTTGTTTAGGAGATGGGTGACAGCTGGGATGAGACGAGTGTGGATATAAGTGAGGCTGATACCAGTACTTTTGGGAAGCACACTGATTCTGATGACCTCGACAAGGCACTTTTCGGAGGTCTAGGCAATACCAACAACAGCAAACCATCCCTTTTACAAGCCATGAAGAAGTCCACTGGTAAATCCATGTTTGACGACGAAGACAATAAACAAGCAACGTCCAAACCAAAACCATTCACCTCCCCCAAACCTGAAGTTAAGAAAGCTACCTTCCAATCAACTCCAAAACCTAAAGCTAAACCAGCCAGTGAGGACGATCTACTTGCAGATCTTCTTGGAGACTCGGACTACTCAGAAATCTCGTCAGCAAAACCTCTACCCAAACTCCCTGCTAAACCAGCCAAGCAATCATCTGCTGCTCCTTCAGCAAAAGCAGCTCCAAAAAGACAGACACCTGCTCCCAAAGCCAAGAAAGAAATCTTGTTTGATGATGATGAGGATGATTTGTTGGGTATGTTGGATTCTGAACATGAGACTCCAAAACCTTCATCTAAACCTGTTACGCCTGCCCGGGGGAGAAATGCCCCTGCAAGTAAACTCGATTCCACTCCAAAATCAAAATCAAAATTTGATCAGATTTTAAATAGAACTTCTCTGATGAAAGAAGAGCCATCTAGAGACACTTCCACGCCAGTTAAACGTGGTCCAAAAACCGATGACTTTGAGAATATGGGCTTTACTCCGAGGTACTTTATTATATAAGCTTATAAGTTTCTACATAACAATAATCATTGAATCCATACAATTTATATTATCTAGGTCATTAACAACTCTAAATAAATAACCTTTTAAATTATTTTGCTCAGTGTTACTAGTCAGTTGCTAATTAAATACGTTCTACTTGCATACAGGAGCTTCTTTAACAATTGAACTAAGTGAAAACAAAATCAAATTATTTCAATTATTGGACTCATAGTATTGCTAAAAGTCAAATGTTAGTTTCTTCAGTTCGAGTGGTCCAGGAAGATCAAGGCGTGGTTTAAACAGTGGTGCTAACAGCGGTGCTAACAGTGGTGCTAACACGCCTAAATCTGGCTTACAACCTGACGACACTTTCAGTATGCTTATGAAAGAGGACAAGGATGATATTTTTGGAGGGTACATTTTTTCTTTAACACTTTAATTACATATGAGTTTTATGTTTTTGCTGTAATGTCCTTTATTTGAAAATTGAATCAATCTCGGCTGCTACATTAATGTTGACACAGTACGCATTATACCCTTTCATTAGCGTATTTTAATATAAAATTATTCCTAATCATACTTATCTGTTATACCGTTTTAACTGGATCACGGTCTTCAGAACACCGGCAAAGTCTTCTACCCCGGCAAAAGCATCAAGTATAGAGGATATGTTTAGAGTTGACCGTACTCCAGGAAGTCGTCATGGTACTCCTGCTAAACCTTCTGCTGCTGAAGATATATTCAGGTAAAGAATAAAGGGTGAAATAAAAACTTTGCAACCACAAGATTATGTATACGCAGAAAATCCCTATATTTTGCAAGTTAAACGTCCACCGTTGCAGATCTAACTTTACTCGTCTTTGTTTTAGGGTTGATAAACCAAGCACTCCCGCAACCAAAGCATCGAGTATTGACGATATGTTTAGGTATTTCTTCAATTAAATTTTTGCAGATATCCCTCGTTTCATCGATTTTTTAATCATATTTCTTTATTAAATGTGATCAGACAACAAACACACTCTGTAATGATGTGCACTGCCACCCCGCTGTAATCCCACATTTCCCAGGGCAGATCGCCAGAGTAGACCAGGAACAGCTAGATTAGAGGGACGTTCACAGACCTCAACCCCAATTAACATGGACAAACCAGTCAACACATTCTCTGATGTTAGACCGCATACTCATGCTGGTCATCCAGGTTTTAATACAGTGTGGGCCAAAAGTCAGTACCCATACGTCAAGGACAAAAGAAAATCGCGATTACTTTTGTCATTGACGTATGGGTACTGACACATTTTTACTTTAATGATTAAAGTTATTAATGTTAATTTTTGTTGAAATGAACACGCTGACACAATCTTTTATTGTTATTTCAGGTGAGGGTGATATTTTTACACAAAATAGACCACCTTCAGCTGGTAGACGGGCCAATACGGGACCACCAAACAGGTATAACCCATTTTATCAGGGTCATAACAAAACTAATTCCAGATTATCATCCTTTTATGCAGTTAAACAAATATTTCGTCAATGAGGTTTACTGAGAAAAACTAACAGGGGCGGTGGACAATCAGAAACACCACGACGAAGACGATCAGAGGACAGTTTGTTCGCAGACGAGGACATCCCCAACAAGTCTATGCCCTGGGAGAATAACGAGAATAAAGCCTCATCAGCGTTGCCGTGGGACAAACCAGCAAGTCCACCTAACCAGGTCCCCGGACCCGGTACCCCAGTCAGTCAACCCCCTGGTACCCCAGCTAGTAAGACTCCTCTTCCTTGGGAAAGCAAGACGTCAGACACACCTCAGGTTTATTTCTTTTCACTTTTACAGTCACAATGGGGTTTAAAATAGTCACAAAGACAAAGGTACCGTAGCAACGAAATTCGAACTAATTAACAAGAGCAGGATTATATTTTGTTGGCCGCGACAACAACTTTACATGTAAAACAAATATTGTTACCTCGCAGTGTAACAGTTCACGAGCGCGCGCGCCACACCACATATCATATAATGAGTGTCCACCGCTTTTAACCGCATGGCCAGAATGTGACAAAGTCAGTGCCATATTCTGATCTACCAGACACGGGACACCTGGACACCAACCATATTATTCTGTTCACAACAATCCATGATTTACTATACGCTAATAGGTGTAAAATTGATCGAGCCTGTGGGTCAATACTTTAAGCGTTAAAGTTGTATTTATGATTAAGGAGTTAAGGTAGGCGATATATAGGAAGCAGATCATATTCAATATGAAAATTTAAGAAAATAAAACTCATAACATTTTGTACTTTATATAACTAATTCTTCTAAGAGATTACGAACACCTGCGTAAAACACGAAAAATCACGGCAACTGCATAGATATACACTAAGTAGATAACAATACAAGCTGGCATCAGAGCTGCGAGGGATTAGCATCAAAAGTTAAATGAGTGCGCTATTTTACCCCCTTCCTTTGATATCTTAGTTATTGATATTTAAATTCTGGAAACTGGGTGTTGATTGCTTTGCATTTGTGCTGGAGAATGATCATCGGGTTTCAGTAGGAGTTTGGGTATGGGTTTGGATTTGGGTTAGGCGTTAGGGTATAAGGGTACTTGGGGGGGGGGGGGGGGGGGGACAATAATGCCATATATATAGAATATATTATATATTATATAATATACATACCTATAATGCTATATATCTTGACTTCAGCAATGTTATGGCCGAAGTTTTCATTATAATCCAGGTCTGTGAGGTACACCATGTCCCCTTCAGCTCCGTTACAGTACAGAATGAATGTAAGACCTTCAATAGTTCTTCGATCCCCAGTATTATTCTCTGAAGAAAGGTGAAATAAATTCCAATTAACAAATATAAGACTCATTAAGATGCTTATGCCGTATATAGATTTGGTTTCCAAATAGTTCCTTGAAGGACCTGCTACGATATTTCATTTGTTTTTCTTACAGTTTTACCATAAGCGTCAAATAATAGATTTAATCTGACCTACCAGTAATTATCCCACAACTCCCGGTCTCCCCGTTTACTGTTGAGTAAACCTTTGCTTCTGTACTCAGCATCCTAAGTCTGTAATTTATATAACCATCATCTGATCTTCTTGAAACCATCTCCACTTCTCCGATACTGTAAACTTTTGAGAGATACAGTTTGAGAAAGTTCCCAGCCACTGCACCATCCTTGACACTGTACCAGGTATCGTAGTTTCCATCGTGTGCTTTGTTAGGAGTGTAGTTACTGTGATAGTTGTGCGATTCCGATCTCGTGATGGCCAATTGCAGGATTGATATTTCTGAAATCAACCACATATTAACATAGAAATGATATTTTTATTTTCAAAACCTATAATCATACTGATAGTCTGAAGATAATTATATCAGAGGATTACTGTCATTTCATCTATAGTAGAGTGTATCGTGTATTGTGATCTACATATGCATGATGAAAAGCTCACAGTTGCAAATAGCAAATAGCAAAATGCTTACCGGCTTGAAGAGGAATCAAGAAGATCGCGGTGAAATGTAACAACTTGTGAATACACATTTCACATAATCTGACCAGATAATGTTTTTGAGTAAAGAATAATGCAATCTTACAAAAAAATCCAATTTATGCAAGATCGTTGGAATTTGGAAATATAACAACAACATCGAGTGCAGAGAGTCTTTATTGTTTCTAAAATTAACTATCATTAACTAACTATCATTAACCATCTCGAGGCTATATCTTGACGGATTATATCCCTCTAAATTTTATTAGACGGCTTAGCAGCTCAGACTATAAGCACAAATAAATTAAGGGTGTGAATTGTTGCGTGCTTGCTCTTAACTGGGTCCTTCGCTCTTGCACGATTGGAACTATATTTTATACTGTTGGACATGCTCTCGTGTAGTAGGTTCTATATAAACATATCGCTCAAAAGAGTTCAAGCTGGTCAAGTAATGGGTGGAGCGTAGCCACTATCAGGTCATGATTCTGTTGAAGTAAGGGTTGGTAGGTCAACGAATAATGTTCATGGTCTATGAAAATAACGACTTCCAGATTCCAACAATGCGGCTATAGTTAAATAGCAGTTGCTTCAAGTCATTGACCACTGTCTTAAAGCTTTAAAGAGTTATTTTGCGCCCCGTGCGTTCCTTCGCCCACGAATGATTTAAAAGCTTGGTGTAGACGATTATTCGTTGACTAAGTAATCCTTGCTTTTACAGAATGATGACCTTTGCCTTTATAAAATCAAAATAGAACCCTGTGACTTAGTCCACTCGCTCAATTCTTTTTGATCGTCATGTTTGTATATAACATAAACAAACACTGTAATTTGCATCCATATGGACTTGGAGTATACTGTTAGTCTTCAACAAGCTGAAAATAAAGAGATCCAGAAGATGAATCTGAGATTGTGAAAACATTTGTGACAGATTTGGAAACATAATTTTTGGCTGTATAATATGTCCGTGAACTGAGTTAGATTTGTCCTGGTATGATACAGTGGCATGAGTACTAACATTTTAAGCCTCCTGTGAAATATTTCCCTGATTCATGGAATGAATGAAATGAAAAACAAATGGACATTGCCGTAGAATGCCCTGTACTGAGCTGAAACCGATTGGTATTGATACCAGAAGTGTCCCTGGGAAGGGCTGTGGGGCAATGTTTCCATTCTGGTTTCAGAGTAGTTGAGATTGTGGAACATATGTGACCGATTTGGAAACATACCCTTGTGGCTTGTAGCTGCAATTATGCCTGGACTGACTTGGAATCGATCAGGTATGGTAGAGGAACATGTGCACTAACATATGAGTCCAGGCATAATTGCGGCTACAAGGGTATGTTTCCAGATCGGTCACAAAATAAGTTTCCACAATCTCAACTACTCTGAAACCAAAATGGAAAAATTGCCTCAGAGCCCCTTCCTGTCGGTTTCAGCTCAGTTCAGACGATTCTAGGATAATGTTCATTTTTAGTTCATTTCGTTCATTCCATGAACCAGAGCAATATTTCGAACTTATGAGTGGCTATAAATGTTAGTACATATGTCCCTCTACCATACCAGATCGATTCCAAGTCAGGCCAGGCTTAAGGGGGCCGGGGGTCTTCACAAAAATTCTCTCGAAATGGACTTTATAGTTGTTTCTGATAGAGAGGAGTGACATCTATCAGATGCTTTTAGTCCCATGTAAAATATTGTTCCTAGCCGAAATTATTGTCGGTCAAAAGTCAGCGCTTTAAATGTATAATTGTATTGTGCAAGCGATTTTCAATCGCGCGTCCTGAAAATCGAGTCTAAAACTCTATCTCCTCCTACATTTTTTGAGCAATCACCCTGAAACTATCAGGATATGTTCTAGGGATCATTTAAAAGAGATGAACCGTACAGAATTTTGAGATAGGCCTTAAAACATTTTTTATTCGATTTTGAAAATCTTGGACCTCAAAGCGCTGACCTTTGACCGGCAATAATTTTTTCGATTCATGAACTCAAAAGATAAAATATATGTTATACAATTTTGAAACATTAAAGAACCTTTGTCCTTAGAGGTGTCGAACACAAAATGTCACAGCAACTATTTACATCGGCATTCGGCAACCATATTCATAAATATTTGTCCACGCTAAAAAAAATCAATAGTTTCTGAGGAATAATTTCGGCAGTCAATTTCGCTGGTGAAAATAAGAAAATAGTGGAAATAGTGGAATCTGCGATCATTGTTGTCAGTTTGATTGATCATGACAACCACGCAGTTTCCACTGCAGCTATACTTTTATCTACAGAGCTCGTATCCTAAAAGATATTGTAGCTATGAGAACTATGATATTAAATAATTAACTTTAATCTTATGTCGTTTTCATAACATGGTCGTGAATCCCAACTACACAACCCACCTTTTATGGTAATAATTATATAATCTTTGTGATAGAATCTACCAGTGTCTATGTTGTGCTGGTTCAGCAGTGTCCTGTACTGGTATAGCCACTCACACCTTCCGACAAGTCTCCCACATTTCCTGCTACCAAGTTCTATTCCACCTGACATATTTTATATTTTTTTTGCTTGAAAAATCCATTTGAAAATATATCTTTTTGCTTTGGTTTCAGTTTTTACTTTCAGTTTTTTTGGAAAGCAACTTCGATGTGGGCATGGCTGTTTAACAAAACATTTGTCGTATATGAGTAGGATAGTAGATACAAGTTGGATTCTTTTCCTTTTTCTATTGACCGAGAAAACAGTGACTACATGTTCTAAATAAAACTGTTGTAACTAAAATATGTGTTTATAATCCATGCTCCCAATATAAACATTTAAATGATTATACTTTACTATCACTCAAAACATTACTATAAATTGTTCTACATTTTTGTCACCCAAAAGATCGTCTTAGTCCATGCTATCCTTTTTCCAAACAACAATCCTCCTTACTGTCAGTCAAAACGTTGTTTTTAGTCTCAGTATCCCATAGCATCGCCAAAACAAACTGCACCACCGCTGATCCGACTATCAGGGAGACAACCCCCATGGGACTGACAGGGTAAATACTGTACGTCAGCAAACTACCCAGAATTGCTCCACTCTCTCCAAAACAACTGGTGAACCCTGAAGAAGTACTTCTCATAACTGTAGGGTATGCCTCCACAGCGATGTAGAATAGTGTTTGTCTGAATGCTGTAACGGACAATCGAACCATCATGTTGAGAATGTTTTTCAAGATTGTGTTCAGGTCAAAGTAGATCGAGATTGTAGTCAACAAGGTTAGAAATCCAAGACTCTTCAACATTAAAATTCTTCCTATTTTTCTTCCA